TAAAGTTGTAATTTGATGAGAAAAAAGTCCATATTATCAGAGCAAAGTTGTAATTTGAACAGGCTTTATTCTGGAAAGCTCAGATTCTTTCCCCTCATGCTCCAGGTACCAATGACATTGATAATAAACATTTTAAAATTCTTCAGCACCAGTATAGTATGGTACGGAGGCAGACCTTTTCATTTGACAAGAATCCGATGTTGAAATCTTTGTCCATCTTGACATAGTCGATGCTGCTGCGGACAGTCGACACCATGATGATCTTCCTCTCTTCTCCCTGAAACTCCTCCACACACCCCACCTGGCATCATGGCAAAGAGAAATTCTCTTCAATTTGTTTAGGAAAAATATCGCAAAATGTGTAAAAATAGGTGAATCAACACAATCTTAAATAATCTCTTTGTATCAGATGAACAGATGAGTGTATTGTATTTAAGGCAGCTTTACGTACCTTGATCTCTTTGACTTCACTCCACTGACGCAGTGCTGGGGCAGACTTCAGGGCTTTTTGGATTTTCTCAACCTATTTGAAAAATAACGACTAGTTAAATGAACCACATCATGCTCATATTCAGGTTGATCATTTTAATTTGTGCTATAACTTCAAAAGATTTACAAAGTCTAATGTTCAGAAAACACATCACAGCCTCACTGTCCACTGCTGCAGCTCCTCTTTTCAGCCTCTGTCTGAAACACTTCAAGTACTAAATACGTATTTAAACCCAAATCATCCAGCTACGAGATTTCTGCCACAACAACGCCAAGAATGACCTTCTCAGCTGCCAGGGCTGCAGTGCTTGAGTATCACAACAGGGTGTTCAACACAGCAGGGTGTATGTAAAGAGAGAGAAGCTCCCTTTACTTCAGACTTTGGGCTTTTTAACTTTGCAGACCTTTCATATACACAAAAAAAAAAGAAAAAAAAAAAAGAAGCATAATATCCTTTAAAACTCAAACTTTCTCTCCACATCTCTACTGTACACATATGCCGCGCAGTCTCACTTGTTTCCTGTAGGGGACGATGATGCCGATGTGTTTCGCAGTGAGTTTGGGGAGACCGTTCCTTTCTTGCGTTTCCATCAGCTTGGTGAGGTAGTCGACCAGAACTTCAATCTCAGACACGTTGAAGAAAGATGGACTGTTGGCCTCTCTCTCGTCTTTCCCAATCACCCCGTGGAAGATCACTGGGAAACCCTGTAGATATACAGACAGAGTGGTCCTAAAAGATGTACTTCTCTTTAAACAGACCTCTCAGGGCTTTTCCCTTCATCCTAATAATATTTTTTTTATAATTGTATTTTTGGTGAGTTTTGTCTTGTTCCCTGAGCCAGTCTGAAGGTAGGACCTGTCTTCAATTAAGTTAGATAATGAGTGTTGATAATGACATGATAAAAGAGACTCTCATGAGATTAATGCCCTGTACAAAATTATGCAATATTTGCAAAACTAAAAATTTCCTCTGCCTTTGGTCTCGTCCACATGCAAACAACATTTTAAGTCATTAAACAGATTTTTTTTTTTAACTCTTTGAAACTTTTGTATCCATGAGCATGTACCAGAAACAACAATGACAGCTATATGCAAGTTGACATGAGAATAAGCTCACTGAGAATGCTCACTATGCTCACTACTATGCTCACTACTATGCTCACTACTATGCTCATTACTATGCTCACTACTTCATCATAAATATTTACAGACATTTTCAGAATTCCTGATATAGTTATTGGGATAACTTCTGATTTTTTTATGAAAAAAAAACAAACTTAATTGACATAGGGCCACACCTTTTTCGGGAGGTATTCCCAGTTGCAGTACATCTCACGGTCCCGCTTGTCAGCAAACTCTTGCACTTCGTTGTCATAGAAGAGCTCATTGGGGATTTTCAGAATGGCAGCGTGAGACCTGAGACAAGAAAAGCAGAAGAGTTTTAACCATCAAAAGTCCTTCATTCCAAACAACTGTGACAAGAGAAAACTGAGAGATGTACCTGTAATTTCTCAGCAGTTTGGTGACGAAGCGGGGGTTTTTACTTGTCTTGTATAGATCGTTATATTTCATTAGCCTCTCCAGCAGAGAAAGTCCTGCAGATCATTGAATTATAAAACCAGAGACAAAGAAAAGAAAATCAAACCCGCTGTGGTGGTTGTTTTCAGACACAAACATGAACTTTGGCTTTCACATATGAAGATCGTAGCAGGAGATTGTCCGAGTCAAACACGTTCACAACAACAGGAAAATGTCCGCAGTGTTCTTGTGACTAGTGGCGTCTGGATGGAACAAGAAGGAGACAGGAAATGATGTATGCTGCGAAAATCACACGTTTTTGTTTCCTGCTCAACAACCCTTTGTTAAAAGCTCTCGAGTGTGGTCGTCTTCTTTCAGGAGAAGCTCTGGAGTTCAGCACAACACAGTGCGATGAAATGCCTCTAGAAAAAGTAACGTCTCACCGAGTCCATGATGCAATGCAAGAGGAGACCGAATGATGGGTCCCAGCTGCATGGGGTCTCCTGCCAGCACCAACTGACCCTCCTTTGAGTCGAGCAGACCTGTGACACAAAGTGAACATGTTGAACAATGTGAATCAAGCATTTTTCACAAGCATATTTGGCATTTTCTGGTAGATAATGACCCTATTTCTAATTTCTCTGTGACTTCTATGAGCAGTCAAAGTCACTGTCCCCAAAAAAGTTCATATTTCGTGAGCTCATATCTCCTTTAACTATTTTAACTCCTAAAAGATACAATTTAAGCTCTATGGGTTTCTACATCAAATCAAATGAAAAATGTCATTAAGATCTTTACCAGTGCGACTCAAAATTGTGATGATTAATGACCACCTGAATGTAGCATACTGATAATTCTAATATTCTGAGCTTACCTGCAACAGCAATGACACATTCTGGCTCCACCGCCTGGCCTCCTTCATCCACAAACACATGAGTGAAATGAGTCATTGGGATTCCTCTAGACACGAGTCTAAAAACCAAAAACCCACAACAGAAATGTTTACAAGAGTAAAGATAAAAGTGCAACATGAATCATGATGTAAAGAATCGAAGAAGATAATATTGATAATAATTATATGACTACAACTCTTACTTGCCAGCTGTGTACATAGTTGTGACTAAGATTTTAAAATTCATCAGAATTTCAGTCCCTGGAAACACAAATTCTTGCTGTTTCTCATCCCAGTTACAATATTCCTGGAAGAAGAAAGAAAAATTAACTCATTAACTTCATACTCAGATTTCAGTTCTTCAAGAAACCAACCACTCAACAAACAAATACGATTACTCCGATCGACCTGATAAACAACTTCTGGAATTAACATGTGGTGAAGGCTGGTTAACATGTGGGTGTACTTGCTTGAGTTACTGACATGTACATTTCTTTTCTTTTAAATGTATTTTTTATTTTTAACATCACAGGTTAAAATGAACATACACACATACACCGGAGACTGTAAATTAAGATGGATGACATGTCTCCACTTCCTCCCGCTATCAAGAAATGAAGCCAAAATATCCTGAATATAGACGCTGTCATCTTGTGCTTGACCAATGGCGAGTCAGTCTCAGCTGTCAATCGTGACATTCTACACTGATTTTATAGCATCTAGCATCAAGTAACCATCTATAAGACATTTCTTTCGCTTGGTCCATGTCCCATAAGCTAATATGGACAAGGCAGGAATCATGGCCTATGCTGCAGCAAGGCACAAGGTGGCATTTGAGGCACATTGGCTTCACTTTTGGGGAGAAATCATATCCTCCATCCTTAAATACACTCTATAACATTTACAGATTAAGACTTTGTTCATAAGATCCGATAATGCTCACCAGCAGGTGCTTGGGGACACTCCTAGGGTCTCGGCTGTTGGCGTACATGCGGTAAACCTTTTGATGACCCATGGGCACCATCAGTCTCTCCCACAGGAAGTCACATGCACTGTTTGAAGGTGCACAAGCCAGGATGTGGGCTGATGGATCTGCAATGATAACCTGACAATGCAAGCAAAGTCAAATTCATAACTCCTAGTTGTTGACATATGATAAGTTTGGCTTTTTAAAACATGTTTAGCTCTGAAGGCTAATCTGCCTCTCGTGGGTGTGGTTTAATCAGATATGACTGACAGTGTCTCCGTGTCAAGTGGCATTAACCACAAACAGCGCAACAACTGTCGACAGATTTCCGACTACGATATTGATAAAATGTGATTGTCAGGTGAAAATATATGACATCACTTTTTTTCTAGATGAGGATCACCCAATTCAATACATCAAGAAACGCTCAGACAAAACACAGAAATCTCCCATGTGAGATAACAGGTATCTGTCTAATCCAGCAAATAATATCACTCCAGCCCTCTGACTCAACTTTTGATTATTCTGCTGAATATTTTATAATTAATCATTTGGTGAAGTTAAAAAAGGTCCAGGTGAAGTCATTATTTTGTCTGAGAAACAATAAAAATATTTAATTCAGACAAAAAAAAAGCAACTCATCATGTTAAAGCTTTTCTTTACATTTTAAGACACCTGGAAATGAAATGTAAGACTTCTTAATAAGCCCTTTTTTGCAGGTGGTTTCAGTTCTTTATAAAACCTACTGATACTTGATACCTGGTACATAGCTTCAACCAGAGTGCTTGTCTTTCCAGTTCCAGGAGGCCCGAACACAAGATAAGGAGCTGGTTTAGACGATCCGGCTACAATGTGCTGGACTGCAGCACGTTGCTCCGGGTTTTCTTCCAGATCACAGTTGAACATCCTGTAGAGTAACAGACAGTGACAGAAGATTTTTTTACACCATCCACACTGGTGAGATATTTCAAATACAAAAGACAGTGGTGAAGCAGATCTGCTGAGCAATGTCCAACACTGTGAATGTTTAAATGAAAATGAGTAACAAACTCCCTGTTACTGAAGAAAGATTAAGAACTTGAGGTCTTGTTTACAAATGAGGTGAAGATGAAGGACGGGTGGGTCTGTGTGGCATCAGCAGTATTCTGGGTGTTGTACCGGATCGTGGTGGTGAAGCACATAGCAAAGCTTTCGATTTACAAGTAGATCTATGTTCTGACCCTTACCTATGGTCACAAGCTCTATAGCAACTAAAATAATGAAACAAGAATACAAGTGGCTGAATTGAGTTTTGAAAGTCAGGTGGCAACTAATCAGGAAACCTCACTAAGAACTACATATCTCATCTGGCCTGTTTTGTGTATTTGTAGACAACACTACAACAATTAGTGATATTTTGTTTTGTATTTGTGTGTTCTTTCTTGTGTATTGACATCAGACCTGAGTATAGGCAGGGAGGGATTAGTCGCTGCACCAGATGGGAACAGCATGTCTTCCAGATTATATTCAGCTGCCAAGTCCACCGCCCGATGCTGCAGCTTCAAAAGGTAACGATTGACAGTAAACTCCACATCAAACTTCATGTTGCTGTTAAATAACTCCAACAGCCTGAAAGAAGCAGAGTGAGCAGAACATGTGAGTCAGGTCCTTTTTTCCTGGGAATTCAAGTAGACGAGTATCTTAAATCTAACGCCTACTGCTTAGAGAAGGCCAGTTTCACACTATCCAGCTCGACTTTGTGAACGTATCCAGTGTAAACAGTGAGTGGCTTTGATGTGTCCCCAGATTTGGACAGCCTCAGGCAGTCTCCACGAAGTACAGATGGACGATTCTCAGCAACACCAGGAACCTGTTGGAATATATATATGTATAAAATGTTGAGCTCATAGATCAGGGAGCTTTCAGAGGCAAATGACAACAGATAGAATATATTGTATATCAGCAGAATAAAAAAAAATACATTCAAAGGCACCAATGAAACAAGAGAATGGGTCTCATTCAAAAACAAGTCTTGTGCACGTTTTAAGAGATTACTGATTTCAGACATGAACTGAGGCCTGGACAATTTCCTGAAATTTTTCAGAGGGTCTAAATGTAAAAACCAAAAGGCCAGTTGATTGAAACATTTTCTGGGACTATTTCTGCCAGCCCCCTCGTAAATGTCCTCGTCAATGTCCTGTGACAATGCCACGCCACGAAAACGGAAAAATACAAATATCACAGAACTAAGGATGTTGTCTGAGCCAGTTCAGACTGGTTAAGGCGCCATTTGAGACGGGAATTAACACAGGAAACTAATTTGCATACGTTTCCTTTGAAGATAGAGCATAACACATATATATATATATATATATATATATATATATATATATATATATATATTTATATAACAGAAAGGCAGGTCCCAAACAGTTCAACTACAAAATAGTTTTCCACCGCAGTTATTTTCCACTTCAATTGTGAGAGAATAAGAAAATATGTTTGAGTCATCTGTACTAGACTCAATTTCTTAAAACAACAGTAGGGCAACATGTTTGAACTGAGCTTGTCTTACTTCGAGTGCAAGCAGCTTTCCGTTGCTTTGGTCCTGAGTTAGGGTTTGATTGTGGAGGTCGTACTTCCTGATTTCCACCTCCATCTGCATCTCTTCCAGGTGCAGCAGGAGGTTAAACCGTTGACGGTAGTTTTTCATCTCCAGGGGACCCTTGAGGTGGGTCCTGGAGGCACAGAACAAACACAAGCATTGTTTTTTTAAAAGAAAGACAATTAACCCGAAACAGACATGGTTACGTTTAATCAGTTGGTTCTCTCACTTCACTGTTTTCAGTTTCGATCTGGCAGCTGCAGAGAGGTTCTCGGAGTCCTCCAGGTTATGTTTAGCCAGTATCTTTAGGTAATGAGGGTACTTGAAGTCTCCTAATTTAACTGTTTTTAGATTCTTTAGATTCTGCAAAAAGAGTCTGAAGAGAAGAACAAAACATTTATCATTGCAACATGATTGTAATCAGCATCAATAGAAAACAATTACAGTTACCTTGTTGATCAATTTCAATTACGTGAAGAAAATTGCTTCAGCCAACTCCAAATCAAATATATGATATGAAATGGTTAACAGAGGATTAGTATAGTATAATGTCTGGCATGGACCAGGGAAAACGACTAGTCCAGGATTCTTTGTTAGTGTCTCTAACACTGCATTTGCCATTTTAACCAGGTTCCCAGGGAATAATTCATTGATCTTCATTAAACGAATCAGGACTATTTAGATGAATGGTGTCAATGAGTGTGTGCAATTTGCAATTAGCTTGATTGAATTTAAGGAGACTGGTGGACCTTGGTGGATGTAAATGCTCTGCTGAGTGCCATTCGACTTTCAGATTTTAATAACTTGCCTCTCAGGAAGCTCTCCCTCCACTACCTTGGTTGCAACCGGCTTGTGTGCGAACTTCCCCCGACGTGGTTTGTAAGGAGCCACAGGCCCCAGCTCCGCAGCCAGAGGGGTCCTGGCATCAGCGACCATCTCCCTCACGATGGAGAAGGGCTCAGACTCAGATTCGGTATCAACTGGCAAGAACTCGAAGTAAATCATGGAAGAGAAATATCCATGATAATGCAGCTTGTACCGAGCCACAACTTCATAACTTTCTCCTGGAAAAATAAAGCCACAAGAGGGTGCTATAAGTATTAATTACTTCAGTATATATTATATTTTTCAATCAAAACACAGATGTTGTCTCACCAGGACTGAGGAAGACGGGACAGGCTCTGGTCATTTTCCTCTCGTCCTCCAGAGTGAAGCAGCGGATCCTGTGCAGGGGAGTGTAGAAGGTGAAGTTGACGGCGTCTAGGCCCTTGTTTTCAATGTGGAACCTGAGGACATAGTCTCTGAGAGTTTCCATGATGTACTGAACCTTGCCGTCGCGTGACTCAGGGTTTGAGGTGATCTCGATGCCCTTTTTGTCAGCCATCAGGTTTTTCCTGCAAGAGAGAAGCGTGTACTGTTATAAAAATAAACTCAGTGCATCCTGGTGGTTGACATTGGAAGAGGTTCTGAGAGGTTCTGAGTTGGCCCTCTTGGATGTACAATATTAACAATGAAGATCTTGTACTTTTACTCCTCCGCCTTGACCTTGAGAGCCCTTCAGCCTGTTTCCTATCTCCTGGGATTTCACATTTCACTGTCTTCACACGCTAATATCACTGCAGAATGCTTGCATACTGTATGACTGTTTGACCTTATCTACAAAGAATAAAGTACACAGAAAGACTATTGTTATGAAAGTTTTCTGGAAGCTGGTGAAAGGAGAACTCAGGCAGCAGCTGATGTCTTATGCAGAAGAGTTTCGTGTAGACTTGATTCAAGGAGACCAGAAGGTGGAACAATGTAACAAACACTAACAGAGTAACATGAGCGATTGTCACCCCCAAGTCTGAAGATGTCTCCCCCAGCTTCCCCAAATATCTTCCTCTACTTGCATCACCCATTCTAACAGCACATCCATGAATGGCTCTCACTCTCTACATAGCATGTAGGTGTTAGCATCCTATTGGATAGATAAGTCGATATATGCATTTCTAAACCACATTGGGTCCATACGTCTTTCCACTGGTGTAATACACAAAAGAGTTGAAGTTGGTGCCTCTCTGTCTGGGGCAGCTGAGTTAGATGTGAAAGTCCCTGAGCATAGACACAATGCACAACTGGTTGGTCCTTTATCTATAACCTGACCATGGGTACTGCTAAGAGAGAGAAGGGAGTATCTGTGGAATTAGATAGACACTATTCTCCTGTACAGATATAATATACACTATATATAATATACAGTGGTTTATACAGTAATGTGTGAGGATGGTCAAAACTTCCTCAACAACTATTATTCTCAGATCTCAGATTTCTGAAGCTTTGTCAAATTTCCATCACAGTTCCAAAAATGAACTAGTTCACATTCATTTGTTCTGTTTGTTATTGGGATGATGACAAATGCACAATCGTGTATTTAGTTATTAATCGATGGTGTCGGAACACGAATCGCTCTGGTCACTTTAACACTGAGTCCTGACTGTGAGCATCACGTCTTGTGTTGAACAAAATGTTGACTGGTTGACGGGTCCTAATAACCTGTGGTGATTTTGTGGTGTTTATTAGTTAAAGTGAGAGCAGGTCAGCAGGGGAGTGGGGGGAGGAAACAGGAAACTTCAGCTCGGTGTAAACCGACCTTCTGATCATTGAGGAGCTGTGGAGCGGAGTGTTCTGTCTTTTCACTGTTTCACTGTTCTTCAGGTGCACGAGCTGCTCCTGCTCCTCGTATCTGACTGTGTGTATCTGTGTGTGTGTGTGTGTGTGTGTGTGTGTGTGTGAGAGTGAGTGGACTCCCCCTCGCTCCCAGTGCACACACACACAATGATTCTCTCGCTCCTGGTATTGCTCATGAGAGCCTATATGATGATGATTTTAACGAACGGGGGAGGACGTTTGCAAGTTTCTAGTTATAAAATTTAGTTGCACTGTCTCCAAAAATAAATGCTCGCAGTCTGATGCCCTGATTCAATTAATGATTTCGTTTATCAGATGTCACTGAAAATGTTGAACGGTTGTAACAGTCTACCAAAGCTTTTAGATATTCAGTTTAGTATCCAAAGGAAAACATCAAAACTTCTCATGTGAGAAACAGGAAGCAACTAATTTTTTACATTTTAAATAAATTTCTATTAATGAATAGAACTAATAAAGGAATAATGAATGTGTGGCTCAGAGTCAAGTGTATTCACCTGTTATCTTTTAACTCCTTCAGGACCCTTGAGGCCAGCTGTTTCTTGGAGATCAGCGTGGGGGCCAAAGGGGTGGAGGGGCCAGGGGAGGGTGCAGCTTGTTCCTCAGGGCCACAGCTGGGGCTCTCCAGCCAAGGGGCCCGGGGCCTCCGCCACTGGTCACAGTAATCTCTGGGCTACAGGAAAAGAAACAGAAGAACACATTGCTTCTTCTTTTCGTTTGCTGCCCTCATTGCAGAGAAACACATCCAGAGTTAACTCGAATCCTACCTGAGCTCCATCTATTATGGAGATGATGTCGTTTCTAATGCAGACTTTGTTGGAACTCCTCAGAGCAGAGAGGACTTTGTTGAAGTTGTGGTGACAGGATGCTTCTCTGTGAACACAACAGAGGGTGTGACACACAACATAGTCTATCACAGCCATCTCACACACACACACACTGCTCTCTGCTGCCTACCTTTCTTGAAACTCATGGTAGATGACTCGAAGCTCCTTCACGCTGATTCTCTCAGAAGTTCTCACATATTCGATGAATCTCTCTGCGGAGTCGTGGAGGGAGGAGGACATGTTGGACTGACTGCAGCTCGCTGAAGCAGGAACTGAAGATGAGGAAGTTCACAAGTTCGGTACAGTTGGAAATGTATGCACAGATTCGAACTTCCCGGATCAATACGGCACAAGGAAAAGGTTGATGAAACACAGACGACGCCTCTTTCCCACCGTGGTTCCAAAGACAAGCGGCCACAGGCTGTTTTCATCCAGACGAGCGGACAGGTATCTACATACAGCTGTGGCGACAGCGCAGGGACCGTCTGCAAAGTGCAACACCGGAAAGAAGATGTTACAAAGATTTTCAGTAACTTCACTCTAATACTGTGTGGTCTTATCAAAACCACGTCACACATCAAGGTTCTCCTGCTGGTTACTCGACAAAACTTAGTGAAAAATGCACGATTAGCTCAAATAGATCTTTAAATTGTCAATAATAATTCCATTAGACCAAAGCAGAATTAGTATTTTAAGTTGAAGTCATGAGCGTGAATCGATGAAGATATCCAAAAGTTTGAAAAGAGAAAGTCTTGATTTTTTACTTGATAAATGACTTAAGTTATGAACTTCACTAACCCTTACCCAACCCTAAATCTAAATTTCTGTTTCACCATAAATTTTGAATTCTGATCAGTTATTCCATGACAGAGATTAGTGACATCTAGTGGTGAAGGGTCATGTTGCAGCTGAACACCCCTCACCTCACGCTCCCCTTCGAAACATGACAGAGAACCTATGGGAGCCTCCGTGGAGAGGACAAGCTCCTAATGTAAATATAAAATATTTAAATATAAAGGGCCCATTCTGGGGTAGAGAAAACAACAATTCATACAATTCAGATTAAACACAAGTGAAAACATCACTAGGATTTTTTTATATTAAATTTCTGCAAATAGATCCCTTTCACCTACACACTAAACCTTCAAATTCACATATGACTTTTTCAATAAATATTTCATATATATATTCTGCAGAATGTTTCCATTGTGGTCAAGTGCCAGGCGACTATTGTAGTGGCAAATACCAAATATGTTCAAAACTGAAAACAAAATATCGTAACCTTGCTCTCTCAAAACAATAAATTACAACACAAATTATTGTTTCTTGAAATCATATTTGGTGCAATATTTTTATTTCAAGAATAATAAATGCACTTACAGTTTGTATAAAAAATATAGCAAAAGCTAAAAGGTAAACAAAAGGCAAGAGGGCACCAATACTTTCTTAGTCTAGAGAAGAAGAGAAAGAAAAGACATTTACGCTTTAGACATGGACCTAGAGGAAATCATAAATGCTTTAAAGTCTCTCTCCAGTCAGGTAACATATCAAAATTACATACAGCATTTGCCCTCTGTTAATAAAACAAGAACTATAGAGGTATTGGAAGCTCTTAAAGAATATCTGTTGTTTTTTTATAGAAAGTAAACTAGTTGCTACATGAAACTGAAGATGGCTTTGGGAGGATGTGCGTCCATTGGAATCACAGAGGGATGATGAACTGTGTGTGTGTGTGAGAGTTTGAAGGGCAGGAATCGACCAACACTTTCACAGTGACACTAAAGGCATTATTTGTTGAAAAACAATAATGTACAATATGTTTACAAATGAGCCACAGTTACATAACTCAGTGTCATTTTAAATGAAAGGCGTTCCCTCTGGGTGCTTGACAGAAGCTGCACTGTCTATTTTAGTGGAACGCATCACACTCATTGCTCAAGCATCAGCCTCTCGTAACCAAGGCCGGCGCTGCCTCCGTCCTCTAAGCGTTCTGCATCTCTTTGCCGATCTTGTAGGTGAGGATCTTGTTCCAGTCGAGCTTGGTGCGGGTGATAGGCAGCTGTCTGCGTAAGGCTTTGAAGGTGGTGTCTGACATGGTCTGATAGTTCTCACTGATGGCTGTCTGCAAAACAAAGAAGACAAACATGTCAACAAGCAATATCGTATCCTGATATCATCTGTCAGTTCCAGATAAGTCATATAAGCCAGTGATGAATTGGCCTTTTCTGTCAGGGCTCCCACACTATTTTTGCATTTGTGCTCTAATGCTGTGTGATCTTCAAATAGCTTTTAATGGTTTTCTGATGTTTTCCTTCAAATGTTCATTCTTAACTTGTAACAGTGTTTTGACAGGTGCTGTATAAATAAAGTTTATTATTATTATTAGGATAGAAATAAACAAGGAAAAACACAGTGTGTGAGCTGCAGGAGAATGGAAAGCTAGTTCAATTTTATTTTGAACAAACTGTGATCAAGTATTCTGGTGTAAAGATAACAACTGCAACGGTTGTTTAGTTTTCATGTTTTCAGGTTTGCTAATTCCTCTCAATAAACTGAACATTTTTAATGCTCACATACCTGATATTCATTCTCTGCATCCTCAATAATTTTCACCAACTCCTTGGCGGTCTGTTTCTCATTCTGCCAAAACAATCACTCATGGGTTAATTTAATGATTTAAACACTCTTGAACAACATGAAATGCCCACATTGAGTCCACATACAATTATTGTCTACTTGCTTCTGCATTATAATCACAAACTAACTTTAAATATGCATGTATAATAATTCAATAAAAACTTAAAAAATGATGTACAAGATAAAAATACTCACAGACACAGTCAGTGATTCTTGTACATCTTTATGGCTGACCAGCTGCACATTTCCGTCCTCATAATAATGTACCTGGAATAAACAGAAGAAATACACACTGGAGATGTAGCAGTGACACAAAGCTAACCTCGCAGCAAAGCTCGTACAAATCTCGACAATCATTCAACATACCTGTACTTTCAAAACTCCGACCACCTGCGCTGTAGATTGTGAGATACTGAACTTCCACTCAGACCGGCAGCGACCATTCCTGATGGCAGAAAACGTAGATGAGCACATTTGACAACACACATAACACATCAATGACATCTCCGTCTGAATAAATTTGATTCAGAAGTTTGCGGTGTGATCATTATTCTCTATCAACTTTACCAGAAGTTTTTAGGCTCAAACTGATGACCCTCGATACAAGCGATAATGGTTTGCTGGCCGTCGATTGTTTTCCCATAAACCTGCAGCAGATAAAACACGATGAGTGGGTGATGGTGTGTATCAGCAGGTCTGGTGCAGAGTGGCTGAGCGAGCTTACAGTGCAAACTCCACTGGAGTAGTGCTCCTTGACATAGGCCCTCAAGGCAGCATCACAGGGGTCTCTCCATGACCTCAGGGCTACCTCCCCCTCATGGGGCCGGGGGTCGGTGGCTTCTTTGCTCAGGTGGTGAAACTTGAAGGAGATCTTATTGTGAGGGTCGAAAAAACGCCCGTTACCCAGGTCTCCATGCTCTGTTATCAGGACCTACGGGAAATACAGACAGAGAAACCTGTTGTTACTATGGTTATTTAATCAAGAATTGTTTAAGTAACTTCAGTGGGTTCAATAAGGACAACAATTGATCTAAATGCTTTTAGAGAACAACTTGCCTGTTCGTCATATCCCTCAATTTTGGCACGAGTGAACTGATCCATGTTGAACTGGGCAAAGGCACTAAATCAGATGAGGATATAAGCAAGTTAGAAGCAAATAAATCAGTCAATATTTATATTTTATTGATCTCTAGGTGGTCCAAACAAGAATGGAAATATATACAGATATATATATATATATATATATATATATATATAGAGAGAGAGAGAATAGTTATAAATATAAACAGTATGTAAGTATGTAAAAGAAACAAGAATTACACTAAAATATGTGCATTATCCAACAATATAGATTGTATATTGTATTCTATATATATTCTATATATAGAAAGAAACTGAATAAGAATATGTCAAATATAAATAAAACATTAAAACAAACAGACACTTGAGTATAGGAAAAAAGGATTAAAAGTAAATTTACTTTTATATGAATAATATAATTGTAGCTTTACGAAATACAGTAAAAACACAAAATACTGCTAAAACTCACTGAGCCGCGCCCTCTCTGAGAAGATTATCATTGTCAAGCAGAACTCGAACATCTGAAAATAAGAATTAACATGAGTTAAGCATTTACATTTTCTTTTACAGTTTCTAAATATGCCGATCACAAATAAGGCTCACCATTGAAGACTTCATTGAATTCTCCTGGAGGAGCGTGCATCACAAAATTAGCTGCAATACGGACCTAAAAACAAAATCATTTTCTTTAAAACTCTAAATATGATGTAGTATGAGGTATCATTACATCACATCATTCTGCTTCACTCTGCTGCCTGTTATTCGTGTCTATTTATTATCTTACAAACATAGTGAGAGATACAGTGTAAAACAACCTGCAGATAACCGCTAGAGTGAGGCAGAGAGCAGGCTTCTAACTTTATTAGCTGAGGGCTTATTGAATCTTTTGGCCACTCCTTACATGGCAGGCAGGGAATGTTGCCAAAGGGCTTTTCTTAGCAGCCAATATGCAAGTGTAAGCATGTGATGTCAAAGCCACAGAGAGGAGGCTGTGGAAGGTGCTGTGGTGATACTCAGTGAGGACTGGGAGGACAAAGGCATCACAATAAGGCCCGGCTTAGTCAAAGGGATAATTCACTATCTACTCACCACTATACCAATGGAGGGGTGGGTGAAAAGTGTTAAAGTCCACAAAACACTTTTGGAGTTTAAGGGGTAAACAGTGCTGCAGCCAAATCCAAAACAACTGAAGTTACTGGAGATCATGTCTTCAAATGTAAAAAAACTACATAAAATGCATTGAACTGATGTGAACGCAACACGGTGTAAATTACACCTTTTCTAGTCAAATTTGAATTACGGGCTTTGTGGACACTTGGATGACCCCAAAGGAGCAGTATGGAGGCATTTTATGTTTGCTTTTTTACATTTGAATACGTAGTCGCCATTTACTTCAGTTGTATTGGATCTCAAACACTTTACCCCTCCATCGGCACAGTGATGAGTAGATAATGAGTGAATTTTCATTTTTCCATGTACTTTCCCGTTAAGTGGAAGCAAAGTTTAGATCAGGCGAGATAATTAGTGCTTCTTTTTATGTGACATTCACAGTAACCCACAATGCTGCCACCTCCACACTATGATGTGCCATCATCACAGGGATGCCGTCTGTCAGGCAGACAGGGATATCGAGCCTCCGGGCTGCAGCTGCCACTGACCTACAAACAGGGCCGTCCAGCTGAGGGGGCAGAGGGGGCTTTACAATGACTAACCTAGATTAACTATGATCCTGAATTGTCCATTCAGAGCTCAGAAAGCACTTCCAGGCTCAGGCTCTGATTCTCCACCGTGCAATTCAACAGTATGACACTATTAAAATAGATATCGAATTAAAGTAGACTGGGTAATAAAATAATTTCAGTGATTGTTGCAATATAATTTTCATCAATAGCAGTATAACAAATGATTGATCAGATTTATAAACTTATATACATTTTAATCTTGATAATTTTTTTTGCCGTACGACACAGCCCTGATTTCAGTCATTTCCATTGCACTGACTTGTTTGCAGCTTCACTGCAGTGAGGCTGGAAGGTGGAAGCCCCATGGCCAGTCCACCAGCTTTAGGAATGCAAAGTGTTACTTTACAACATGTAGCAGCACGATGGAGACAGCAACACTGCAGGAAGACTGACTGTATATCTGCACTATGAATGTGCAAAATAAAGAGGCCCCGGGCCTGATACTGGGCAGAAAGCAGAGCACCTTCTCCATGAGACTCAACAAGGACTGTTACAGCAAATCTTTCCTGCCACTAACCATTAGACAACACTTCACTTCTGTTTCTCTTTACCCAGATACCTGCACCGTCCACACATCCTACTACAATGTTGCACCAAGTATATTTACATTGAACACACACTACCATATGAATATTGCACTCGCTCTATGTACATTGGAGTCTCTGTTGCTCCCTTTACATACATTTATATTGTTTATAATTTGATCTGGAATTTTTCTCATATTTTGCATCTAGTTTGTGTTAAGTGACTTATATCTTGCTGCTGTTTCACTGGAATGTCTCAGTTTGGAATCAATTAAGCAGATCTGTCTGGGTTATTGTGTACATTTTACATTGTTTATATTTTGATCTTATATCTCGAATAGATTTTGATATTTTTACATCTTACTGTTTACTGATACCTTACAGCTAACACACAGCTCTCTATCTATTTAACCAACAGGTAACAGCTACATATACACCTTGTATTTATAATGTGTTACATATATACATATCTATATATAATGTATATACAGAGTTTGTGGACAGTGGGTGTGGACCTGCTGACGATGCTCTGTCACGATCCTTCGCTGTAAATGCAGGAAGTAGCTCGACAGGCTTCGGGTTAGCATTAGCTCACCATTCTCTCAAGTTAGAATAAAGTCTAACCCGCGATAAAGCAGCAATGTGTGAGACTATCGAGCAACAAGCACCGGTTTCACACAGGTTGTGTCCCTGGCACCAGGTATTTGTGAGCTCAGGAACAATGTCAGGCGATGTGAAGAGCTCGAACACAACACAGGCTGAGCTGAGCGGGGTTCACACACAGCGGCCATGTCCACAACATCACAGCAGGAGAACAACCACAGAGGGAACACATGATACCTTCTCTTCGTCGCTGGGCTCCTCGAAGTCTGCCATCTTGGCTCAGTGGTAACAAAGCGACTGCAGCTGGTGCTCGAGTGACTGACTCCTCCCGCACCAGAGGCTCCGAGTCCCGGGGAGAGAGGGTGGGCAGGCCCCGCTCAGCAGGGCCGTCAACACACATTCCAGGGGCCTGGGGGCTCGAGCGGAAGAAATGGGCACCTAATGTCGCGTTCCATGTATTTAGAATATAGGAGAAGATTGGTGATAATCCCTTGCACACTTGAAGGTCTTCTGCACAATTTAGGTTACCAACTACCAGTAGATGTAATAATAATAACTGTATTTGTATAGCACTTATCTAAAAAAAAGAAAGAAGAATGAATTATGATAAAAGGTGTTTAATTCAGTTACATTTTAAAGGGCTAAATCATAAGACAGTAAGATCAGAACTTTAAAATGTATAGAGAGCCCTCTTTATAGACAGTCTATGAGAGAGACCCAACAGTTCCCACAATGAGCAGCACTGCGGAAGGGCAGTGTGCGCTAGCATCGATACTTCTGGTAGGGGACATTTCAGCCAAAAACATGGTGTAAATGACGTCATGTCGAGTCGGATGTCGGGGTTTACAGGCACTTAGATGACACGACCTAAGCAGTATGAAGGAATGTTTTGGATTCTATTCATCGACCAAACACAGCGATTTAAAAGAAAACACAAAACTCAAATCTTGAATGAAACGGAGCAGAAAGAAAAATAATCTTTTATGATCTTGCCCCTTTTACAAGACATTAATTAACAAAGCAAATCATTTTTAAAGGTACAGTGTGTAGAATTTGTGATATCTAGTGTAGAAAATGCATGTTGCAGCTGAACACCCCTCACCTCACCCTCTCCTTCCAAACATAAAAAAGAACCTGTGGTAGCCTTTAATTGTCATAAAACCCAAAAGGTGTTTAGTTTGTCCAGTCTGGACTAATGTAAAAAACATGGTGGCTTCTGTAGAGAGGGTCCCCTCCATGTAAATATAAAGTATTTGAATATAAAGGGCTTTTTCTGGGGTAAAGAAAACTACAATTCATACAATTTAGATGAAATGAACTAGTGAAAACATCATGAGAATTATTCCACATTAAATTTCTGCCAATAGATCCCTTTCACCTAAATCTTACACACTGGACCTTTAATAAAAGTGGGTGTGCACGATGATGATAGAAAAATATGTGGGTATCCAATGTGAATACCTGTGTAATATACAACACTGCTCACCCTCAGGAGCTCAGACTGAAAACAGCTTCAACATTTTAACCTGGAATCTACCAGAATATCCAGCTATTTTACATGTGGCCACTCGGGGGAGATGTGGGGAAATGACGGCGTTTGTGGCCACAGCAGAGGCAGCGGAAGTGATTTTCTGTTGCACTGAATCAACCAGAAGAAGAAGAAGAAGCAGCAGCAGCTTTGTGAGAAACCGCGACACAAGCCGCCGTGTGTTCGCGGCCATTAGCTTCTGGAAGCGGAGAGAAAATCCACGTAGAAAGTGAGTGAGTCTGTTCTTCTGTCTGTTCCGCGACACACACGCGGAGTGAATACGCTCACTTCCATGTAGCTAACCGTGTAGCCTGAGGCTTTAGCTCGATGGTAACCAGCAGCTAACGTGAAGCAGCTAACCGTCAGCCTAGCTAGCTAACACAGCTGCGTGCACACTAACGAGTGTTCTCCTCGTTAATCTTCAGTGACTGTGTGCGGGTTTTTCTGGATTCATTAAATTCACGTGGTTTTATAAACTCATACAAACCGGAGATGTAATGTATGACCCGTCATGTGCAGCGAGACCTGCGCGTTTGGGTTTTGCTTCCGACTCAGCAGCTACAGGAAATGTCGCTCCCTCATTTATATTGTTGTATGATGTGAAATGTTTAAATGAAAACAGTAACTCTTAAACACGTGACACTACCGAGAGGAGACGTTTTCAACACTGAAATAATTCGTGTTAAATGTACAAACACGCCCGGCTTCATGTTTCTACAGTGTTCAGCTAATTCATTGCACTACTTTAATTTGCACTGCTTACAACTCACAGAACCAGATGACTTGTGTACATATACTATTACTACATATTGTAATATTTGTATCGTTCAGTTTGCTGTTGTCCTCTCCAGCTACATGTCCATGTCTACACAGAGAAATGTAGAATATGAGTTAAATTCCTTCTAGTAGACCGATAAAGCTGATTCTCCCTCTTGACCACATTGTCGCAGATAACTTCAACACTCACATTAATCAGACCTGGTATTTATTACTACTAATCTCAAATCTATGAAACATCCAGACTTTAAACATCTCAGATTTGTCTGTTGTAACCTCAAAATCACACATTTGTGTTGTGATGTACTTGTCTCACATGCAGAACATTGCTTGTTCTTGTAGTTTCTCATTATCATCATTATCTGTAGTTTAAAGCTACTACATCTTAATTTATTTCTCAACTTGTGTTAATGTGTTTTCCCTTCTGTTTAGGCACTTGGGGTTGTCAAATTATGTGGACACAGAATCCAGGATATCCAGCGTCAAGTTGAGGTATGTAAAGGGTCGCTCCCTCAAAAGCTTTCTGTAAATTACTTCCATAACTGTAATGCAACACCTCCACCTCCCAATTTCAACTTCTAATGTTTGTGTGTTGTTACTAAAATCACCCAGACATAATATCTTCCTGAAATCATTTAACTTTGGGCCACCCAGGCCATGTTAAAAATCAAGTTATCCTAAGATTTTTTAGAAATAGTTTTTCCAAACGAGTTATTTTGGCAATTTCAAAGCAACATAAAGCTGAGTTCATTTCATCTCTGCGATTTCCCTGAAGACATTTCTACCATTTAAGTGAAGAGGATGATTTGAACAAACACTGCATTTCTATTTGTAGAAAACACCGTTCGAAACTCGTCTCCAGAGTTTCTGCGTGTAGTCTTGTAGGGGCAACAAAATAAATAAATAAGTGCTACAATTTTTTATTTTTGACTTTAGGATTTTAACTACTTATTGCCAAGTTGTATCGGTAATATCATTACCTAACGTCATATCATGCTGCACAATTGACAATGTTTTTATGGGCATATGCGCCATTTGCTCCAACAAAGGCACTAGAACTTTGCGTTTTTATTTTGCGAAATTGCGAAATTCAACCACTTTTAAAAATTTTGACGAGATTTCCACTGAAAATTTCTTGAGCTCAAATGGATTCAAATCAATCATCAATGGGACACATTTATATTGACCCCCACCTGCAGATACGTCTGAGCTCAGCGTCAAATGGATTTTTTCGAGATGAGAAATCTTTCATTTTCAAAGTGCCCACTCTGAGGAAAAAAGACAGCAAAGGTCAATGCAAGTGCAGATTAACCACCTCACGCAGTACCGCAGACGCTGCACGTCGAGCAACAGATCCCTGCCAAACCACAAGCGGTGAAAATTTAGGTGGGTGATGTGAAGTGTTTCTGTCCCTGCTCGCACAAATGTTGGATTGCAATGCCAAATTTGCACTGTGAATTTGCTTTTGTTTATTTACTCACCATTAATAATGATATGCCTTGAATTATGCCATACTTTAAGGCAAGATCGATATGCAGAGTTAAATGGAGCAAATAACGTGCCATTCAAATGAGCGTGGGAGAAATGCAGGACACATTAAATAATATAAAACATTTTATAGTATAAATTTAAACATTTTTCTGGAGATTTGAAAAGCACTACTGCAATTTCGAGTATTTGCTACCTGTGAAAAAGAATTTGCAACCGCATTTGCATTTCCTGTCTCATTTTGGTGTGATTTTCATCTGCAACTTTTGCTCCACTAAAACTTCCCCCTCCAAGGAACTTGATCTCTTATTTTAACTCACTGACATGTTTCAGGATCTTGGACGACAATTTTAAGAAGCTTATTAGCGACCGAACCAAACTTTTTCAAGCATTTGAGACAAACAAAGAAAGAAACCAGTTGAACGTCTGGATCAAGTCATGTCTCGCCGAAGAAGCCGCAGCGCATCGCCAGGACACTTTTCACGCTCCTGCAGCAGTAATGATCCTCGAGATTTGGAGAGAAGGATTTTCGTGGGGAATTTGCCGACCTCCGACATGGAAAAGAAGGATTTAGAAGAAATGTTCAGCACATACGGGAAAGTTGTCGGTCAGTAATGAACACAATATACGCAAATTTAATTAGGACAGGCTGTCCCCTGAATGTCACAATTACTAAAATATTTTAGATGAGTATCAGCAATAACTTAAGTTTTCATGAAATGTAAGCATGTAAAAGTTATGATTCCTATGGATAACTTAGGGTAGGTATCCAAACTGTTCTCCAAACCGATCCTAAGTCTGTACCATTTTAAAATGTTCCTCTTCCAGGCGTGTCCATGTTTCGTGGGTTTGGATTTGTACAATTTGAACGCGTTGAGGAAGCGGAAGCTGCAAAGGCGGCCCAAAAGGGTCGAATATATAAAGGTTATAAAATAGGTAAGCCTCAACTGTACGGGGTGATTGTCTTGCTGAATGGGTTAAGCTTTTAATGGTGTACCTTGAGCAACAAAACCATGCTTATTAAAGATCAGATTTTCTTTGTGATACACCTTGGCCGTAACAGATAAAGTGCTGATCCTGTTGATAATATTTTTGTGGATTTGATTTTAACAATGCCAGTAAAAACAGCAAATTTGATGTTTTAAGGATAAATGGTTTACTAGTAGTTTTCAGTAAATTAATGTTGTGTATGATAGCTGTCCACATGCATTTAGTCTTAAATACTCTGAAGATTTGATTTAATCATTATTCTTTCACTGTAAATCTGTCTTTTTGTAGATATGTTACATTCTGGGCTGAAAAAGCAAATAAATAAGTGCACCATTAAATTCTGGCAAAGCCTGAATCTCTAAAATCTCTTGTTTGCAACACAGTCTCGGAATTTCGTCCACCATAGCTCTAAATGTGTCACTTAAAGTGGGACTCTTGTGGTTGTGGGAGTTTCTGAAGGATGAATTTCAAGTTCAAAATCTAATTAACATGTTCAAACCTTGCTATCGTTTCTTGTCAGTTTTGAAGAGGAGCAGAGAATTCCTTGCTTTCTTCACCTTTTACTCAATTCAAATCAATTTGGCAAATCGATTTGCTGCATTTTGACATCTTGTCCTGTTTGGATTTTCAAACTTGGATGTTGGACCCATTTCATTTGGATCGTGGAATTATTGTGGCGACTTCTCCATTTTGCGTGAACACATGAGCTGCTGATTAAATGTCACTGTTATGTTCAACGTTTGGATTGATTTATTTTCAGATGTAAATATGGCAGTGGAGCGACGGCAAGCTAAACCTCAAATCCAGCAGAGCCCTCCTCGAAGGTAAAGTAACGCGAAATGGGTGTGAAGAACTACCATTGCCTCTGAGGTTTCGGTAAAAAACAAAAGCGTATTAAGAATTTTCCTCAACTGTCATTTCCACCAGTTGTGGAGTCCGCTTGGTGGAACTTAACGAACAATTAGATAAGTTTGTGATGGTTCATGGGACAAACAATATTTCACTATAAATTAAAACTTACGGATGTGTTGAAATAAAGTAAAGAGACGTGAATGTAATTTAAAGTGACTTTGTTTCAAAGATTTTTTTCCACATGGCTTTTTAATTCTCGTGTGCGGGACTTTGTGTCACATTTTAAGTTAGTGGAATGGCCACCGGGAGCCAAACACGTGCGTTGAAAACACGGGCTACAAAAAACATTTGTGGAGCTTTTTGTTCACATTTGCAGTTTCTCATCAAAATACATTGTGTTTTGCTCGACGTCTAATAATCACGGTTGAATCATTTTCCTTCCTCCAACAGTGGAAGAGCAGAGCTACACAACACTATCGGTCTCAAATCGCCACTGTAAATCGACCCTGCTGTCGGCTAGTTAGCAGCAGCCACCTGCTACGTTTCTTGACATGCTATCACAAGCGACTGTTGATGAATGGAATAAGATAAAACCACCAACAGGAACATCGCCTGCATCAACGTACCTACAGAACGGGGACCGATATTTAAAGGACATTTCTCCATTGCGCAACTAAGGGTCAAAAATCGGCGATACCCGTTTTGAACTTTGATACTTCTGTGTGTGTGGTGCCGCTTAAACACTCGCCCAGGGCAAGTTCGCGGGTATGGTTGGGAACGAGCACGTACCAGTGCAAACATGTATGATGGTTATTTAAGTATGATCATTTGCATTTTATAATTTTCAGCCATGCATAGTGATCCACAATCGTTTCTTTATGTTAAAGGAAATGTGCATTGGCCTAAAAATAAAACCTTTGTCTCACAAGCTGCTTTAACAGCAGTGAGAAACGTTTTCAGGGTCCCAGATAGAAAGCGAAGCGTTAATGAGGATTTGAAAAATACAGCAAGTTCTTGAGTTCACTTCTACATGGATACCCTGGTCAATTCATGTTTTCATGAAGACTAGACACAGAAGTTACTAGTTTATATTTGTTGTAGTTGCAGTAATTTCTTGGGTGAAGACGTGGAGCAGACGTTCTTGGAAATGGGTGAACGTTCTTTGGAATGGAAACGTCTCTTGCTCAAACAAACCGAATCATCATAAGCAAACACGTCTAAATGGCACAAACAGCCTTTTTTATAAAGGCTTAACAACCACGACACTTCTGTATTTTCAAGAGCTGGGTTTATGGTCGGTGAAGCACAAATGGTCGTCAAGTCGATATTGTTGTGTTCAAGGATCACTGGAAATTAAAAAAAACTTTGAAAGGACACCCGCCAGAGTCGCCTCCTGGATTGAATTTGCGCTAATTCCCTGTGCGAAAACGATAGTGGCTTTCTCTTGAGCTGCTTCTGTTGTGTGAATAAATATGTTCATATTGGAGAAATTGACAGTACCCGCTGTATTCCTGTCCTCACCAGCTGAGGATAGACACTCTTATAACCCTTCAGTATTTTATAGGCTGCCTAATCTCCAAGTGTTCTTGCTCTAATTGATAACATTTCTCTCAGGGCCCCATACAGCAGTTACGGGGACAGCAAAGAGCCTCGGCCTCGGTCCCGGTCACCTGTTTATGGGCGCGACGGACGTGATGGACGTGAGCACCGTGATAGCCGGGATGGGAGGGATTCGGCTCGAGAGGCGAGGCCGGCTGGCCACTCTCGTGACCATGACTACCGCTACCGTAGCTCAGAGGGCAGAGACAAGGACCCGAGAGGTGACCTGAGAGCTGACCCAAGGGGCGACCCCAGAGCCGACCCGAGAGGAGACCCCAGAGCTGATCCGAGAGGAGACCCCAGAGCCGACCCGAGAGGAGATCCCAGAGCCGACCCGAGAGGAGACCCCAGAGGGGACCCCAGAGCCGACCCAAGAGGGGACCCCAGAGCTGATCTGAGAGGGGACCCAAGAGCCGACCCGAGGGATCCTGCATTCAGGTGACTCATTCTGCCCATCAGTTGAAAATCCATAGTTAAGCGTTTACATTTTTAGTCTTAACTTGAAATGTGTCCACACAGCAGAGAAGACTTGGACAGATTCTACCGCAGTGGCAGCGGTGCAGAAGAGTATTACCGCAGGAAGGATGAGACCTACAGGGACCCTTACAGAGACCCCTGGAATGGACGTCGTGAGCCAGAGGGTAAGTTTACAGTTGTAATTAAATGATAACAAATACACAGCGAAGACATGGCACAAAACCAAATGGGTTTATTTTCAACTGCTTTGATTATTAGCTCAGTGGTGACTAGACCTACATTTTTAGAAGTGAAGGTCTATGACAACCAAATGCTTTTTGTGTTTGAGCTTGTGTAACAATGGCTAATCATTGGAAGTGAAAGTTTAATACGTCAAGTAATATAATATAATATACAAATAAACCGTTTTTAATAGATATATATAAAATCTGAATAAATACAAAATGATAAAAGCAATAAAACGTTAGTTATCATAAATATTATGGGGAATGACATTAAGGACTCAACCGGAGCTGAAAGCCGGTGAGAAGTTGGTCTTTAGTGATGATTTGAAACGTTTCACAGATCTGAGCAGTTCTGATATGAAGTAATCTATGATTGAAATGTGTGTTTTGATTGTTTTCAATGTTGCTGTACATGAAACTATGCAGAAATTGAACTTTCCATTCCCCTCTGCCTCTTCTACAGCAGAGGATCGTGCTCGACCGGAGGAGCGTCGGCGTAATGAGTTGTATCGACAGTATTATGAAGAACTCCAGCGGCGCTATGACACGGACCGTCCCGTGGACTGCTCGGTGATTGTCGTCAACAAGGCACAGAAGTATGTTCACTCTCTGGACTTGATTGAGAGCCTGGTGATACTGGACCAGAAAGGTCTCTGTACATATTCTATCAGGACATGGCATGTTTTCATTTCATATGGCTCCTGTGTGTGTGTTTGTTTGTGTTTGTGTGTGCGTCTGCTTGTGTGTACCTCTGCTTTGAAAATAACTGTAGGGAGTATGCTGAAACGGTCGGGCGGAAGGTCCGCGATTTGGGAATGGTGGTGGACCTAATCTTCCTCAACACAGAGGTCTCTCTGACCCAGGCTCTGGAGGACGTTGGCCGAGCCCGCACTCCCTTTGCCATCATCATCACCCAGCAGCACCAAGTGCACCGGTCCTGCACCGTCAATATCTTGTTCGGCACGCCGCAGGGTAACAAGACAAAACCACAATATGAACCTGTTGGTTGGTTTAAAACCTGCACCAGCTTCTGTTGTTTAACACATTTTTGTCTCTTTGTCACCGCAGAACATCGAAACATGCCAATGCAGGACGCCATGATGCTCGTTGCCCACAACTACGATTCTTACAAAGTTGAAAACCGTGAAAAAGAGCGCGAGGAGATTGCCAGGAAGGCCGCCAAGATGGCCGACGATGTATTACTCAGGGAGCCCGACAGAGAGAGCCACCCCGTCTCTGTGCTCACTGCCATCACATTGCTGTCTGAAAACAGGTATCAGCTTCATCGTGTTTTTCATAATGAAACATTTAAAGAAACTGGAGCTATGGGGAATTAAACATGTACATTTTTGTGATATCTTTTTATTCATTCCTGCAGCTTCTCAGATAATTTAAAAACCCTAAATATATATTCTTGCAGTAATAAACGTTTTTCTCTGTGGTTTCTGGGTAGATTTGTAACCCCCGAGGAACTGGACAGTCTCATCGCGTACCTGAAGGATAAACGAGTCCGTCTGGTGCGAAGTTCTACAGACCCTCTTTCAGGTAAGAACTTCTTAATTGAGGAAGTGACTTATTAAAACGTTTTGGTCTTAAAACACTCTTCGGATGGTTTGGCCATGAAGAGATTCCTGAAGTGTAAATTGACAGTGGACGTAAAGAAATGCAATTACTTTCTGACACATATTCTTAATTTGTGTTTAAAGTGAGAATTTTCTAAATTGAGTCTTTCTTATTCAAAATTCCCAACATTTCCACAGAAACAGTTTCTCTACTGAGCTGAATAAAAACAATAGTGACAAAGAGGAAATTTAAAAGAGATCCACTTAGTTTGATTTAAGTCTAATTTACCGATAATCTGCCAAAAAGAGTCCTTTTCACTGTTTGTGAAATTATTTATGTTTTTGTTTGATGGAATGAATGTGAATTGCATGTGGCCTGTCCACTGAAAAACAATTGGTTTTGTTTGTTGATGCAGAACTGTTGTTTGCAGAGCAGCTAATTCAAACTGAATCTTTGTCCCTGCAGCTCCAGTCCACGTTGCAGCTCCAGCAGATGTCCCGCCCTCGGCTGCAGGACTGCCTTCTTCCTCCCATTCTGCTCTCGCACCCCAACAGACGAGTCACCTCGGTTTATCTGCTGCTCCGAGCGCCCCGGCTAACTCCAGCCATCAGCAAGAGCTGCAGGCCAAGATCCTCAGCCTGTTCACCAGCGGCACTGGCTCAGCGGTCAGTGCTGGGGGCCTTCCCTCTGCCTCCCAGTCACAGGCCTATGGCTCCCTGGGCCTGCCCCCTTCCCAGAGCCTACCCCGCCCAGCCATGTCCGCTCCTCCTGCAGCTGTATCCCAGGGTTACGGCGCCCCGCAGGGCCGGATGCCAGTCGCACCAATCGGTCAAAGACCCCCTGGCTCTACTTCAGGTATCAATTTTGACAACCCGAGTGTCCAGAAAGCTCTGGACACGCTCATCCAGAGCGGGCCGTCTCTTAACCACCTGGTGGGCGGCGGGGTCTCTCAGCAGCCACCGGTCAGACCGGCACAGAGCATGGGCCAGGCCCCGTCCCATCCGTCTATGTCCATGTATCCCCGACACTACTGACAGGCTGCAGCAAATGAATTCCATCTCCTAACGTGACGCCCACTTTTCCTCTTGTACGCGTAGACACCACATCGATTCTCTGAAGTGAATTTACCAGCTGTGTATAGGTAGACTGTTGGAATGTTTTTGTAAACTGCTTTTTAATTTTGTTTTTCTTAATTATTATTGAATCTTTATTCTAGGCAGTGTTCTCACTTCAATTTTTGTTTTCAACTATAATTATTAACCAGAAGACAATTGATTCTTGTTACATGTGGTTTAAATAATGAAGATATGTTGCATGTGTAAAGTACATTTTGGCCCCTGATGGACACTTTTGTGTTTTCCAGCCATGACCTGTTGTGTGTTTTATAGTTTTGCAGAGTCTTTTAATTTGTAACAAGTTTTCATTGTCAATAAAGACGTGATTAAAAACTCGAGACACAGTCGCTGTAATAAAATGGTATTGGTTTATTGCATTTTGTGCTGACAAATCTATAAAATGGAACGGGTATCGCCAGAAGCCATAGAGATATAAGCATTTGAAATGTAAGATAAAACTACTTTTTCCTCTTTTCAATGTACCATGAAACACAATAGAGAATAATACATTAGTTTTTTTTATTTTAGAATATTTAACTTACACTGACACAAAAAATAAACACCTCCACACTAACTGTACTTGATTTATTTACAAGTAGCCCCGTCCCTCCCTCACCCACAACCACCCCTGCCCCCAGCAGTTACAAGTGCACATGTACACACATACACACTCCCACAGAACTGAAAAGAACACACTACAGCGTTACCATAAGACTAGGTACAGTATCAAGTAAGAATTAATGAATTGTTCAAAATGGAGGAAAAAGAAAATTCATATTAGTGAAGTTTGATACAGGTGTTTTCTTTCTGTGTATATCATCTATATCTACAGCCACTGCATTTTTAAAGCATCCATACAAAATGTTTCCCACGACTCCAGTGAATTAAATACATATCTGGACAGTGACGAGGTTCCTCTGGGGGGAAGAACTGGTTTTTAAATGAAATACAGGATTTTCAAAAGGTTAGACACTTTTAAAGGAAAAGACATTTTGTCAAATATGAAGCTTGTTACCTCTAAATGTTTTTAATAATTTAAGCGTCACAAAAACCTGAATGTAAAAAGGACAAATTGCTGTTTGGTGAGATTTTATGTAACTGACTATTCCTGGCCTCCACTGGTTGCCTGGCAACCGTTACCAGGTAAGATAATTGTCCACTAAACAGCTTTGTGTCATTTCCAAATTGAACAAACTAGATGTAATAAAGTGATTTTTTAGAGATGCTGATTGGTGGATTTTGCGATAGTGCTGAGCTGAACTGTTTCAGTTTGTGTACCAACCATTGGCAAAAAAGCCAATCAGCAATTTTTCACCCCAATGTTGAACTTTTCCTTTAAAGCTGCCTGATCCTTAAATTAAAAACCTATTTTGGTGATTGTTTTATATTTAATACAGTTATAGAACCACAGCTGGTGATTAAAAAGGTTAAATATTAGAACAAATTGAACATTAGCAGGCATATCTTCAAATACTTTGGCACTACCCGATAGTTTTATCCTTTAGAATAAAATATTTCCATGTAGTAAGTGGTAATTGCTACAAACTTGAGGAGGTGAACAGTATTTACTGATCTCATGTCTAATTCACTGGAGCACATTATTGTCACACTAAACTGAAATATACTTTGGTAATCAGTTCATCTGAATATAACGTTTGACACCTCAACAAATCTACCATAAAAATAGAATCTGGTACTATAATAATAATGATAATAATAATATTCATCTTGGATACAATGATTGGCCAGTCCTAAGGAAAGAGAAAAAAAAATACTAGAAAGAAATGTTTGTAACTAATATAAACAAAATACTTTTATACCACAAACACCCAATATATTTTCAATACACCTTGTTCAGGGTAATTGCATGCATGCACTGAGATACACAACATAACTGGACCGGGGCTCTGCTTGCACTCCAGTGATAGCCACCTGAGTTTTTTTTTTTTTCAATCTTTTCTGACTCCCAGAGAGCTCGACTGTGTGAAATGTAAATGCAGCTGTTGTGTATTACCCCCCCCAGCATCAGGCACATCTGTCCGACGCTGGAGGGAACGATCTTATCTCAGCCTCAGACTGTGTGACCTCTCTGCAGTAATCTGGGATTTGTCTTTATTTTTTTCTTCCTCTGTTGGCGTCTTTAAGGAAATCCTCCTCAACCCGGTAATAGATGTGTTTCAGAGCCCTTAATATCCATTTAAGGATGGAGACTGAGTAATGATCACCGGCAGCTTTGTCTCATGCTACAGTTTGTGCAGGCGAAGGATCTGATCTGTGTCTGTGGATCAGTCTGGGAGGGGGGGAGGGGAGGGGTGTGGGGACGTGCTGGTTTCTGAGTGGGGGGTGGGGGGGCTATGTGGTGACGTCCAAGCAGAGCCGGTGCCAGAATTGGAAGCGCAAGTTTTATATTCTTTGATCATTTTTCAGAATTATACTGCAATCACATTTAAAATACAGAGCTGGGGGGGTGGAGGGGAGGGGGGTGGATCTAGTGGCTGGGGTGGGGGAGGCCAAGGGTGGATTTTGGCTGCAGATGGGGGTGTGGGGGTGTGGGGGGGAGGGATCGTGGGGAAGGCTCACCTCATAGATTGAGTGACAAGCACTAAAACTTTTTAACGATTATTCTTTTTAAAGAAGTTTGGCAAGAGAAAGGACAGAGTGATGCATGCTGGGATGTAAAGTAAAATGCTCAAATGATAAGATGTGAACGAAATCAGCAGGTAGGTCTCTGGGTCGCTGCGGTTCAGAACTGCAGTGGATCATGGGATATAAGATTTTATGGCTGAGCTGGCTGTAATACACTCGTGTGCTGTGGGGCAGAGTTTGTTCAAACCCCCCCCCCCTCCACGTTTCTGCAGACCCATCCTGTCAAAGAGTGCCCCCCCCCCCAGTGTTAAAGTGCTTCGCTGTCTCAGCCACGTTTGGGATGAACACTTGAGATCTTTAAGGTCCGTGAGACCCGGTGACAAACATTCTGATGAGAGAAGCCACTGCTGACACCTCCAGTTGTTTGTAAAAACCAAAAGCTGAATGAAAAGCTTGTGATGAGAGAACAATATTGCACATAATCATCTTACAAAACTCTAAGACTTTGTCCACAGTGATAGAACAGTGTACAACAAAAGACAACACTAGTCGGTTACAGTGTCTCTGACTTAAGTGATATATATTTACACGGGTGAAATTACCGTCCTCCAGGCCCATTCATTCGCAAACTCATAATCTCTTATTACGTTACATAAGACTACTTGAGCAAGATTGAAATATAACAAGGAACAATATAGTGAACTCATACTTTTTCTTATTTTTTGCAAAAGACTTGTTTTTCAAGGTCAAGCCAAACTATTTCCGAGTTCTCAAAATGCGTGACTCCGTGAGAACGTCTGACCTCCTTCTCCGCTCCGCACCTTGAACAGCAAAGTCATCACTATAGAAACCACTAAAACAAATACTGCCACATAGTACCATGCAAACAGCAATTATAAAACATTTAGAATTCAATAAATAAACTCATTTCCCATAAACGTCTCCCATAAACATCAGATATATTTTCTTTTTGAATAAATTTAAAAGGCTCAGTTGATGCAGGCAATGTTGTGGAGACGATCCCAAAACAGCCATGTTCTTCAAAAAACGTCACGTGAGCGTTGAACAACCCTTTTTTTTGTCGAGAGTTAAGCCGACGAGCTCGATAAATAAAATCTTCATGACTCAGCAGCCTGGAATCTTAGAAAACTGGGGGTGGCTGCTTGTTCACTGTCACAGGGGTCAAAGGTTAAAAACATTTCCAAACACTAACGTTGAGCAGATAAACCAGGAATATTCATATTCAAACATATTTTGGCATTTTCTTTGAGTAAATGAAAAATCTGTTTCCTTAAAATTCACTTCAGTGATGGGATTAAAGGTGAGAATCATCCCGAGAGCATTTCTTTTTGAAAAAGAGGATAAAAGGGTGAAGAGTTTGCCCTCAGCTGTAATATTACTATAATATTGCATCAAGGTTTTCTGTGTAGATTTCTAATAAAACAAAAAGAGAACCCTGTCCAGAGATCACGAGCCGAATGTTTCCAGGTCCTTGTCCTGTAGACGACCACCACCGCTGATATGTATGTCTATACCCTTTTCTCTTTATAGTCGCTTTAGTTATTTACAGTACAAATAAATCTATTAATACTAGCAGCATTCACAACATACGGTCCGACATTCAAGGAACACTAAAAACATTTAATACTGTTTTTTAAATAGTTCTACAAACTAATTTGTTTTGCTTTCCTATATCGTATATACTATATATATATATGTATAGATATATATATATTTATGTATTTGTTTATATTTATATTTCTACTACAAGTGCAAATGACCAAAAACAGTTTCTTTAAGAAAAGAAACAAAAAGATATTGAAAGTAAAGTGACAGCTGTCCTTGGTCAGAGTGAGATGGTTCTGGATTGAACACCAAATCTACATATACAAAATATATGTGTAAAAAAATAAATAACATGATCACATGAGTCCGGATTTATTCGACTATTGCACATTCCTTCAAGATGCACTTTATTTTTTTATTAAACCTAAATATGATTTTTCTCACCAGTCATTCAGTCAGGGACGTGTGTGTGTGTGTGTGTGTGTGTGGCTCTAATCTCAGCCAATCTAGAGGATATAAAATCACTGGAGAGTCTACTGCATAGAGTTCAGTCTCGTGGACAGAGCGAGTTTCCCAGCTACAGAAGCCTCTATTCGTTTAGACCACACCCTACAAACAACCAGTGGACAGATGTTCACCTCTGTACGAGCTGATGTGAGTCATCGTGTTGTTTACAGACGTCTGAACTTCCTCTCTCATCTATAGGGCGACTTTCTAACTACAGTGTCGTCACCACACTAGTTTCATTAAAACACCTCTGTTTTCTCTTCCTCTTTTTTTTTATTTTGCACACCTTGTTCCCTCTGATTTATCCAATAGAATCACTATGTCTCTTTGAAAAATACTTTGATATGGCACGTTTGTCTAAAATTTGGCAGAAGAGCGATAGATCTTTGAGTGACAATCAGAAATGATATACAACGACCTCAACTCGTCGATATATGTGTAACTTCTATCTATAAACATAAATACATATATTTGCTCTATAAGATGAAAAAATAACATTTATCGGTGATCTTTTTTAAGCGGTGATCTCGTCACAAGTTCACTCGTTTTTTTCGCACGGTGCAGGTGCAGGTGCTCGTCGTGGTTACGGTGACGATTATGACGGGAGCCTAAGCCATCCAATAAATAAATAAATCCAATAAATAAAGAAGTAAAGTTTCCGAGCCGTCCCTCTGAGTGACGGAATGTTTCCTCTCCACTAGAAGCTTTTTTAGTATGTCACAAAAATACTACACTCATACTGAACAACGCGCCAGAGCTTTTACATTATTTACAGTGATCCACACGAGGGTCGAGGGGGTGCTGGCGATGATGATCTCCTCAGGGTGGGTGGATTAGTGGCGTTGAGGGGGTTGTACTCTCCTCCCCCTCACTCCACTATCGCACCAGCCTCCTGCGAGGAAACGCACAATTCACAGTTTAATCACGTGTCAATCTCTACAGACTAAGCTAGCCTTGTTGTATCTTTTTTTTTTGGCACTAACAGTGGCGACAGGGATAAAACAGCCACTAAGAGATGAGTTGAAAAGGAGGATGGCTGGAAAGACAAGTGATGGTGGGAACAAAACGTGTGGAGTAGAAACACACACACGGTTGTGAGGATTTCATGCCAAAGGAATTGAGCAAGTTAGAGATAAATCTGCAGGTTTGATCCACGTGCCGGTTCAGTCTTCTCCTCCGAACATGGATGTGAATTCACAGTTCATACTCAACTGTCTTCTCCGTCCTCTTCTTCCAGCCGCTGGTCCTGACTGTAGGCAGCAGCGTCTTTTTGCCTTGAAAGTGTCCGATCACCACACTGGAACTAAAAACCTGCACAGAGCTCATCGCAGCTCTCGTTCTTTCAGAGCAGGAGCTGCTTCTGTGTCTCACTTGTATAAAATCAACACAAATAAGAAGAATCTTCAGATTGAAACAAACACATACATGCATGTGCGCTCACACCTCAGCTCACACCTCACACACGCCTCCTCCTCTTCACTGAGTGACTCCGACTCAGACAGATCACCAAAGAAAAGAAAAAGTCTCTCTAAGAACAAATCTAGAAAGCATCTAAATTAGTCCAGAGCCTACAACAGATAGAGTAGCTTATGAGAGTAAAATGAAAGGTCTGGTAGCGGAGCGTGTGAGGCTGCTCGTCGGTCTGCTGGGGATGGAGCAGAGAGGTGCTGAAGCTGAGCGGAGCTATCGAGAAAGAAACGGTCGTGATGGTGATGATGAGGCAGCGTCGATGAGGGAGCACAGGTGACACAGGAAGGGGGCTGAGGGGAGGGTCGAGGGGGGGATGGTAGGGGAGGAGGGGGCTGCTCTTTCAGGAGTAGATGGTGATGACCTCGCGGCCGCCTCCGCGGACCAGGAGGACCCGGTTGAGGCCGTCGGTGAGGACCTCCAGGAACTCCATGTCTGAGAGAGAGGGGTTAAAGAAACTGGAGGAAGCAAAACAAAACAAGCAGCCAATCAAAGGTTCGACAGGAGATCACAGCCAGTCCTCTGCTCCACTCTGCTGTGACATCATCCAAAAACTTATGTCACTACTTTTCATATAAAGCAGGTCCAGAGCAGTACTATTTCAAAATAATAATCTAGAGCACTTTTAGAATATTAACTATTAATAATAATAATAATAATAATAATAGTTTTAAAGGGTCTCTCATTGTTTTGGTTTTACTTTTGCAACTTTATCTTATTGATTCTGTTTTTGCAGTTTTGTCAAAGTGTTGTTTTCATTTTCAGCCCAAAAATTAAACCCTGATTAGCTGGTGAACATACATAAATGAAAACAAGGCCATACTCACATATAACCAAAACATAAAGGTGTATATAAATAAACACTGTTTGTACATTATTTCATCTTATTAACTTTAATTTATCAGTGCTGTGTTATGTTAACAGCTAAATTCTGCTGCCCCCAAGTGGACAAGCAAGAGATTGTTGCAGATGCAGACTCTATCCAACTAATATACAGTATATTGATCCTTGTTTTTCTACCTGTGTTTTCTGTGTCTTCACTTTTACTCTGCAGTAGTAGTATGTTTATATCTTTGCGGTTGTGTAGATTAGCATTAAATTACACTCTAAGGTTTGTAGTATGAGCACTAGTCCACATATTGTAGTCAGGACCAGAGAACTGGTGACTCAACAGCATCGTTTCTTGTGTTTGAAAATGATGCAGGTCTGTTTGCACCATGTCAGTAAACCACCTACTCTCGGGATGAAGGATACAGTTCTCGTCACCTGTCCGGTTCTTGGGCGGCCCGGGCATGTTGAGGAGGACAAGCTTGGCCTCTGAGGACTTCTTGATGATGACCTCATTCAGCCGGAGTGCTGTGTGCATACGTCGCACATTGAACTGATTCCTGACAGAAGACAGAGCAAAGAGAAAAGGAGGTGGAGCTCATTCCCACTGATGAAGGCCTGAATATACACTATTCTTTATATTTTAAAGCACGTAACGCAGCATTTCGTGATACCAAGCTGGTCGAGGTGACAGATGCTCATTCACACACAAATATTTCACCCTCATATGCTCATGTGGCCAACTCGGTCAGTATGAGATGTGAATGGACTGAACGGGGTTTATAGGAATTTCAGTACTTACAGGTTCTCCCACTCACTGCAGCGTGGCAAGAAGAGAAACACATGAATAAACTATAAATTCCAAATTCTACAAACAACTCTAAACACCTTTAACAGCGTTCTGGTGTCTTCGCTTGTATAATGTGCAGAAGAAAAAACTGGAGGTTCTTTTTGTCAGAAGGTAAATCACAACAGGTCAAAGTTCACTGAGCATCACTCACGGCTTCATGTTGAAGATGTCTTTGATGTTGTCGGGTGTGGCTGCGCCGGGCGGCTTGGCGGGCTCTCCGTCGCACTTCTCAGTCCAAGTCATCTGGACCTGCTCCCCGGGGCTCTGAGCCCCCTCTGCGGGGGTCACTGGGGTGGCCGGGGTCGCAGGGCTGGTCGGGGTGGTGTTGTCGTGGATGAGCTGGACCTGAACAGGGGAGGACACAGGGGAAGAGGCCGACTTTGACTATGAGACGAGAGGAAAAAGAGGACGGATGTGGATTTACATGTACATTACATGGAAGATTCAGAGAGTCCCGGTTGAGGTGGAAATGCAGGTAAAGCCACAGAGAGCAACAGTGTTTCAGAGAGAGAGGAGGAAAGAGAAGTGGGATTGAGAAGAATTATGTTGTGTTCTCCTGCACATATCTGTTTCTCTTTTTAAGAATAAGCAGTGATATCATTTCACAATAAAGAGCCTGATATTCAACTATAATAATAATAACTTGTATTTATATAGCCATGTTAAAAAAAGGTCACTTTACAGAGTAATCAAAAGAAAATAAAAAACAGAGCAAGAACTCAAAACAATAATTACAACGCTCGCTGGAGATAATGAATCTAATAAGTCTTTTTGAAGTGTCCAGAGATGGATTTAATTTCGGGAATCAAGTTATTTTGCCTTGGGCTGAAATTCGTATGTTGAAGGAAAACAATTTGGAAAATATGCTGATTCCTTTTCTTGCAGAGAGTGAGATAAAACAATTGAAGCCATTATGACCCTCATGTCTTTGTGGTGAATATAAAGCTGTTGCCAGCAGCTGTGTAGCTTACCACAAAAAATCCAATCTTCCTCGTCATGTGTTAAATCTAAATGTGAGCATACACATGAGGTCAGCTGCTGGAACACCTGATCCTACCTCTTCCTCAGGCTTCTCCTCCTTAGTGGCTGCAGGCGGCTCCTCGGTCACACTCAGCTGAGTGGTCACAGCGGCCGGGTTCTTGCGGCGGATCGACCCACGGGATGAATCAGTGATGCTCTGGATCTGTAATGATACGAATGAAGGAGAGAGAGGAAAGAGGTGATTTGGGCTGAGATGTTGTTTTATGATATAAAGACATTTTTAAGTGTTGATGAAAACAAGTCACTTGATATCACTGCAAGGACTCTGTGATTCATGTGAAGTAAAAGCGAGGATGGTTTTATTGCAGTTTATTAATTTTATTGACAGAGAGGACCAAGCATTTTAACAGTACAACAAAGAATTTGAAAGATGTAACAGCGAGATCAATATTTTCCATTTTCTACATCGATCAAAACACCATCTTGCTGCTATCCACAAAAGCAAACCAGTGTCTGCAGTCAACAGCGATGGAGGGTCCTGCTCAGATTTAACTGTGGATGTGCTTTTGTCCAGAGGGGCTGATGTGTCACGTCGGGTCAAGTCAAGTCGAATCATGTCCAAGTCGTCTCGTCAAGTCATGTGAAGTTTATGTGCTTTTGTAAACAACTAAACTTTACCTCTCTCTCCCGCTCGTTCTTGGTCAAGTTGATCTTTTTTAGCATCTGTGACCGTTGTTCCATCACCAGGGTCTTCTCGTAAGTGTAGGCTGAGATGTCGCTGTCGTGCTGCAGTGAAAATGAAAAAAACAAAACAAAAAACAGTACATATTGTTTTATTATTCTCTTATTGTTTCCTTTAATTCCAACCTCGGTAAAATGTCGTTTTTAGATCAATCTGACAAGTACTTTGTTTAAAATATTCTGAGGCCTCTGTGCTTCATGGTGTTATTACACCAATCAGCAGGCTTCAGTAATGCTGCTGTCAGAGGCAGTCATGCATCCACATTGGCTCCTTGCCTGTGAACAATGCTTATCGTGTTTACTGGAGCAATGAGACGAGCCAGAGGCATGTTGGCTCCTCTTTTTACGTAACCACTGAGACTAAAGTGCTCATAGATGTATCTCTGTATACATGTTTACTGGTATAACACAGATACTTTCTCCTTTCGAGAAAACCAACCATTTCTACAACTTCCACCATAGCATCAATACGGAGGTGATAGAGGAATGTGGTCAGGTCCTTCTTCATCTGGATGCTGTTGTCGTCCATCTGGGCCACGGTGAAGATGCGCATCTTGCACTTCCTCCAAACCTGAGGAACAAAAATATAAATTCTGAATCATTCTGTATTTTTATTTGTCAACCTTATTTCATGTCACACTACTGAAGCTGTTTTCTACTTATCTGTTTAGAAATGCAAAAACTGAGCACCTCAGAGTACTTAAACATCAAATTCAACTTCTTAAAAGTATTTATCTAATCTGTAAGAAGCTTGAATCTGGCAGTATTTAACCTGTTTACCATTAAGTTTGTGCTGATGATCTAAACCTCTTTTGTCTTTTTCTCTCACACTGACAGTGACTCAGTACCTTGTGCTGGCGGAGAAGGAAGGGCAGCAGCATCAGCATGCCTCCATCATGGACGATCCACCACACGTCGATGTGACCCTCAGTGAAGCGCTCTCCATTGGAAGGGAAGGCCGAGATGTTCTTCGGCACGAGCAGAGCCAGGTGAGCAGCTGTGGTTTCTCTGACCAACTCTGTGGAACAAATGCAGCAAGCGTGAGCTGTACTACGTCTGCAAATTTTCGGGATTTACTAGATGTAGCTGTTTGGCTGTGGTTAACCTCAATGGGAGTTTTTGACACTTATAAATAGGCAGTAATTTGTTTGCGATGAATAATTCTGCATCATCACATCATCTTATGTCTGACTATATCCCTCCTTCTTGAAAACATAACACCACATGATTACAATGATTCTTTTGACATTTCTCCTCAGCAGAGGTTAAATAGCAGGTTGAGCTACTCAAAAGCTGCAGCTAGGGAGCTTGAGGGATCTTGTCAAGCTGATATGCTCTCTAGTGGTTCCAAGAGTCTGTAAGAGTAGAGCAGGAGGTAGAACATTTAGCTATCAGGCTCCTCTCCTATGGAACCAGCTCCCACTCTGGGTTCGGGAGGRAGACACTGTCCCAGCATTTAAAGTAAAACTAAAAACCTTCCTCTTTGACAAAGCCTATAGTAAGGGCTGGATCAGGTGAGTCCTGAACCATCCCTTAGTTGTGCTGCTATAGGTTTAGACTGCTGGGGGAACTCCCATCATGCACTGAGCACTTCTTCACTTCCCTCTGTCTCTCTGCCCCCCCACACCTGTTTATTTATTTATTTATTAGTTTTAACATGTCATCATGTCAAAGTGTCACTTTGTCCTCCCATAGTCCCTCTGGRTCTTCTCTCTARCTCGTTTCAGATAACTCCGGCACCGGGACTGCAGGACKACAACGACTACCATCAKCATTGTTAGCATTAWTTAAAATAACTCAGTAATTCATTAATATATATAATCCTGTTGTAGATCACTACATTGTTATTGTTATAGTCAGCCCTGATAGTGATTGGTGCCCAATTGTTCCCGGTCTCTCTCTCTCCACCTCATCTCTCTCTTCTCTCCCCCGCTTTCCACCCATCTCTCCTTTCCTCCCCCCTTACTTTTCTTTCCTCACCCCAACCGGTCGAGGCAGATGACCGCCCACATTGAGCCTGGTTCTGCCYGAGGTTTCTCCKTGTTAATGAGGGASTTTTTCCTCTCCACAGTCGCCTGTGCTTGCTCATTGTGGGAACTGTTGGGTTTCTCTATGTTAATATTGTTTTAAGGTCTTGACCTTTAAATGTAAAGTGCCTTGAGATAATGTAAATTATGAATTGGCGCTATATAAATAAAATTGAATTGAATTGAATTGAATATGCTTCTGCAGCAAAGAAGTAAAATCCTGCAGTTTTTTCGGTCATAAAAGTGTCTTTAAACACCAATTGACTTCAGCCACAAATCTTCAGCAACACAAATCATCCGTCGTTTCTGTAGAGAATCATTTTCTTCCTTTTCTTTCCCTGTGACCCACCAATGAAGTTCCTCCAGGTCTGATGCTCGTCTCCCTGTTTCCAGTTGCGCGGCCATGAGACCAGCACAGCATTATGTTTCAGGCCTCCCAGCCCGCTGGCCTGGAGCAAGTGGGATGTAGCGTCACGCAGATTCGAGGACACGGTCACTTGACAGAAACCCTTCACCTTCTCAGTTTCCATCAGTTTATGCAGTGCCTATAAACATGTGAAGGAGAGAATAATAGTTACCAAGGTGAAGCGTGAAAACCTTAAGTATCAAACCAAGGTACATTTCTAAAAGTCCATATAGTCATCCCCGTAATTGTAAAGAATGATGTAAAGATTTGTTAGGTTTTGAGAATTTGGATGATTTAAGATTGTCTCCTACCTGCTCTGCACGCTGGGTCTGGCTGTAGTTCTCCAGGTAGGTGCCTTCTAGAGCGGTGCCAACAATGGTCAGACCTTTTCCTGCCTTCAGCTGGTTGGTCAGAGAGAGCAGACGAGGTTGCTCCACATTCTGCTCGGCGTCTGTACTGACCAGCACTAGCAACTGAGGCCTGTAGAGAAGGGAGAGGAAGTGAAAATACAGGGCAGAAAAAAGGAGGGAGACAAACAAGGTAGAAAAGGGTAAGAAGAGTCAAATAAAGGCATGAAGAAAGAAATGGCTGAGTTGGCCAAGTAAAAGTCCTAGTTGAGAAAGAGAGACGGAGAAAAACAGCATGAGAGGTCGATGTGTTAAAATGAATTCACAAACACTTTTTGTTGTTTGACATCTGAGATGAGGAGAATCGTGGATAAGTGAGAGGATGGCAGGACATGAACAGTGTGTCTCATACCTCCAGTTCTTGGTGTGCGGGGGATCCTCGTCCAGCCGCATCAGAGCGTAACGCGCAGCACTCAGAGACAGACCTCGTATCCCGTCACCCCACTCTTTCTCCGCACTGAGACACAGAAAGTTATTTGTCACTCAAAACATGAACAATAGTTTCATTAATTAGCTGAAACACTGTTACAAGTCTACTTTTAGAAGCGAGTGTAAATAGGGATTGAGCGTCACCGGTGAATGTCAAGTTAACATAATGTCACTCAGCAAAGGGAATCACAGCACTTAAATAATCAGTGTGCATGGCTCTGTGCTACTCCATTACAAGCATGGATGGATTACTGAATGGGCCTGAGGGGTCAGGAGGCCTGTGAGGAAAAACCGAGAGTCTGAAAATGTCTCTTTATATCAAGTGTGAACAAAATATTTAAGTTCAGAGGCAGTTTCTGAACCTGCAGCAAAACCTGAGAGTTCGGCCGAACCTCAACATTTTCAATGAAAGAGATGCAACACTTAAGAGGGATGTAAAATCTATAAATGGAATCTTATCTCACAAAACGATTACGAAATCTCACAAAAAACAGACAAATACAGGAAAAATGTATACAATAAGATATTGACCTTATGGATGAAGGAGGATGTTCTGTGCATGTTTACATAAATGACTAAAGCTCAAAGCAAACAGTGGACCTGTAAGTGAAATAATCAATCTCTTTTAAACTCCACAGACAAAAACAATTGTGGGTCTGGGCTTGAAAATCGCACATTTTTAAAATATAGTATGCACATGCATGCCAGGCCAAGCAAAGGCAGCCAGCGAATCCAATCTCTCTTGGGGTTGGACTCCACTCACCCAGCAAACTCAATATACTTGTAGATGGAGCCGGCGATTACCATGGCGACAATGGCATAGTACCAGGAGCAGAGGAACATGAGCGTGAGACACAAGCTCATCCCGAGGAAGGACAGAGCCCTGGATATGTAGAGAGAGACAGATGCAATAAGAGAAAAGAGCAAGAGAGACAAACATTTTAAATTGATTCAAACACAAAAACAAAGTCCTCTATCTGCTGAACTGACCAGTGGTAAAACTTGAAGCGAGGTCTCCAGTTAGGAGTCCTCAGCAGCGTCTGCAGGGCACAGGCCAGGTTCACAAACATGTAGCACATGAGGAAAAACCTGCAGGACACACAAACACAGAAACTTACTCTAAAGCTTCTAAAACTCTGCTCATGTCTGTGATAGAATAGACAGATTTCACTAAAGCAGTCCAAGGAGTGTGTTGGCTCAGTATCCGTCACATTTACTGGCATTTGTATGTACTACCTAAGCAGAAAAGTGATCAGCCCCTTTTGTGTGATGAGGTCAATCCTGAGCCCATTGGTATTATTTATGGAATAGCCGGGCACTGGCTTCTCTCAAATCTCCCATTGTTTTTTCTTAAAAATGGCAGCAAATTAAGACAGATTGCTTCAGTTCTCACATGGAGAGGATGGGAGCCACTGCATCCAGGGATGCGATGAGGATGCCGCTCTCACAGATACAAGCTGTCAGCAGGAGGGACCATGTGGGTTCTCCATTGGCCTTCCCATGGCCGAAGATCTGAAGGGACGACAGAAAACACCACTGTTTAAAAATATGCCTGCTTGAAATTAGTTTTCCTGTTTGGCGCAGTCATCATTTGAAAGGAGAGAAACATTATGCATGTGATATGTAAATGAGCAGATGACAGACTGACCCGAAGGGCGGGCACAATGCCGTCCTTGGCGATGGCCTGCATGAGCCGAGGAGCTCCTGTCAGACTCTGCAGCCCTGCCCCACACGTTGAGAAAAAGGAGCCAATCACAATCACCCACGGTGACGGCCAGGCTAACGTGCCAATCACCAGGTTCCCATGCACCCCCTCTCCGAACCTAAGGGAGATGAGAAAAAGGTTGCCATTTCAAACTCATGACATCTCAGCTTGTTATCGTACTTTCTGTTGCAAAGATAATATAACACAAATACTTACTTGTCACTGAGGACGACGCCCTCGATGCAGGCACCAAATAGAAACACACTGGACATGTCTAAATAGTTATGGATCAGGAAATGTATCAAACAGACAGGTGGTATGTTCTTCAGATGGGGAATATCTGATATTTGATTACCTAGCTTAATTTTCTAAGAGGAAAACCAGGTAGTGACTGACAGAACTTGATTATAAAAAAATGATAAGCCTTTACTTTGAAGATGCACTTGATGATCTGATAAATCAATTACCTTTATTTGCCGGGAAAGGACATCAATCGATTTAGTTTGGGATAATATCTCAGAGATCAGTGACATTGTAACTAATATCCTTCAGCTTTATTAACTTGCGATTGCATAGGCAGCTTGATGATGCGATTAGAAGTTCCTAATCACATTGGGTTAGATCCTGAGCAGATTACCGCAAGATACATCAGAGACATTCAACGTGGCTGCCTCAGAGGATACAGAGGCCTGTAATCACAGTACATGTGTAGCCGCCAAGAGACGACAGAAAAATACAAATATACAAGACAAAATATTTTCCGAGGAATGGTGGAAAGTGCATTCAAAAGTTTAAACAAAAAAGATCTTGAAAATTAGCAGAACCATCAGGGCTTAGGAAAAGATGGTCAGCTTCCATGATACAGGCAGAAACACCTTATAATACCTCACTCTTCATCAAAATCAGACTGGTAGTGTAGTGCTTATAGTTTGTCATACTTGACAAACAATGCCCCTTAATTATGGAGCTCTAATACTGACAGGGTCAAAATAATCCTAAACTTGCAGACATTAGTATAGTCTCCTACCTGGGTTGATAAGTAAGTTGTAGATCACATAATTTTATGAGAATCAGTCAATTCATATGATATTTGCCCTCAAAAAATGTACACTGCTTCTTATTATCCTGCAGGGGGCAGTAGTGAGAGGATACAGACGATGGAGGTGGTGGTGATGGCTGCAATGGTTCCAATGGGGATGGACTTCTGAGCATCACGCAGGTCACCAGAGCGGTTGGAGCCAGCCATGATCCCTGAACAGATTGTCAAGGAGGAAATATCGTCACGGTCAGAGATTCACACACAGGAAAACAACATGTGTGTGTTAGAAGCAGCAGAATGTCAATTTATTCCTTCACATGCATAACACAGATTCTGATGCAGAGTGAGTTAACATTTTTACTGAGTTTTGACGAAAACCTTGGCTTTTAGTTCATAGTCCTACGATAAACGTCTTGGTACAAATCTCTTACACCAAAAACATGAACATTATTTGAGAAAAGTCAGGAAAACACATGAAGTTTCACCTGTCACAGAGGGGAAGTAGATGCCGACCAGCAGCGTGAAAAAGCTGGTGATGTCAGACAACACGTAGCGGTTAGAGTTGGTCAGAGTTTCGTCCTGCTCCTCTGCTGAGTACATGTTCCTCCTGGCAATCAAGTCGCCCTTCTCGTAGTAGTTCCCAAACAGGTTCTCTTAGTAGATGAGAGGGATGAAGGCAGAAATAAAAGCACAGGTGAGTGTTTCATGTAAACTTGATGTTAAAATCAAGATGTGATATCTTCTGAACATATGACGCCCATAGAAAGTATTCACCCCCCTGAAGGTCAATAAAAGAATAAAAGACATCGTCACATCTTAAAGCAACACTATCTAACTTTTACAGAGCAACAGCGCCCTCTGCAGCCACAGAAGTCAGTAAACCATCCAAATCATTTTGCAGCTGCTATTTTAAGGTATAACAGTTGCATAGAATTGCTTTTAAAAAAAACCTTGCATTTTGTGTTTTATGATGGATAGCTATTTTCACTTTGATTAGTGTCAACATGAAAATCTTCCAGACTGATGAACCAACCTGCCAGGATGCCACTGGTGACCCCCGGGATGCCCTGGACCTGAGACAGGTTGTTGGCAACAAAGTACTTGTCGCAGGTCGCGTTGAGGAAAGGTGAATCGCAGAACATGCTCCACAGCTGGGTGGTGACTGTCCCATTGGCAGTCTCAATGGTCTTGGCACACACATCAAAGGTCTTCCACACCAAAGTGCGGTTCCCCAAGATGCACACACTGGAGAGCAGAAAGGCACAAAATGTCTGAACGGGCATTGTTGTAGTGGCTGGTGTGTAGATGTAAAACATTTTTTTTTTTTTAATTTAAGACTCAAGAAACAGAAATCACTAAATATCACATTCTACCTGTGATTTGATAAGATTAGATTCAATTTGGAACAACAGATGTAAATAGAAGTAAACTAAACTTAAAGTAGTATCTAAACCTGAGGGTTTGTTTTAAATTTCAAACTTCAGCCTCGAACAACAATCGCTCCACAGGAAGCATTGATTCATGTTTTTTGCAGGTCACAGCACATCCACATAATGACAATTTCAGTGTCAAGCAGGAAGTAGTTACAAGCTCAAATAAAATCCCTGACATTAAATACATTATACATTTATTTTTAATTCTATTGTTTTCCTACTAGGGAAAACCCTGCAAATTAAAGAATCAATTCCAAAATAAGGCTCAAATTGATGTATTACTTAAATGCACGGTAGAATCACTGGAACATGGGAGAAAAAAAACAAATACAAAACAATTTCATCCACAGCAGATGGCTGTCTAGCATCAGATCAATCAAACCTAGTGTTTGAGCTCAAACATCTGGTGTATTGTTGCCCAGGTGTTCTCGATCTTTATCAGTGTTATGGTTATATATCCTTGCTAATCTTATATTCTGTTGGGAGATGTCACTGCTTACGGGAAGTCGGGAGGATCAACAGCAGTCTTGATGACCCCGGCGTAGACGGCCAGGATGGAGAGGATGACGCAGGCCAGAAACACCAGGGCCAACTTGTTGACGTACTTGACGCCGACAAACACCACCGTGGCCATGGAGGTCAGGAGGATGGTCCCGTACACACGCATGTTGTTGAGCAGGGCAGCCTCCGCTTCGGCACCTTCCAGGCCTTCCAGGGGAAAGATGGCCGCTTTGGGATATATGTAGATCTGAAGTACAGAGATTAAATTACTAGTTTTTAACCATTATGTATCCAGGGAAATTGCACCTGCATTTTTCTCATAAAGGTTCTATACGATCTCCTACGATGCTCAAGGGCATCATAGTGCTAGTTGTTTAGGGAATGCAACTCATCCACTTTCCCTCCTCACTTCCCCCCTGGCCTGTCTGGGGATTTTAACTGGCAGATTTCAGGTCACAAGCCTGCTCCTCTCGCTCATTGTTTACTGCTGAATTTAATAAATTTCACACCGTGTAAAAAAAAGAAAGAAGAAATGTAATAAAAGAGAGGTGAGAAAGGCACCGAGGGATGAGGTGATTGAGGAGGACAACTCTGTGAAGTGTGAAAGCATGTGATGTTCACATTAACAGTCCTCTGCTGGAGCTGGAAGCAGTACACATAATATTGCTATTTTAATTCAGTTTAATTAAAGAACTCAAGCATGGTATTAATATTCAAAATTAAGTGCCACTATTACGCTGCTACTACTACTAGTCAATCTAAGAATAGTTCCATGATATATAAACGGTAAACCCCTAATTATCCCATCAGTATCTGTCATCAGCTTTAGATGATTCATGGCCAGGCTGTTACATAAGCATGGGAATTTCTCTTTTTTAAAATAATCACTTGGTTTCCACCCAAACTGATTAATGACCACAAAGAGTAGAGAATATGAAAAGGGACGAGCGGGGAATCGTGCCTCAGTTCGGTCACTTGGCTGGAGAAACTGATGCTAAGAACAGCGTATCACTAGGCAAACAAATCTCCTGCTCCAGTGTGAACTGTTCATGCTTCCTAAAATAGCAGCATCAGTTTGTGTTCTTAGCTCGGGTGGAAGGATGAAACACATTCAAATCAGCCTTCTCCAGATCCGCTCCTTACAATTCTGCAGGGATTGTTATTTTACAATGGAAACTAAGCCAGCTTTGACCCAGAAGACAGAATTAACCTCTAGGCATGATCAAACTCTGCATATCCATTAGAGGCATCCAGAAGGAGAAAAAAAAAAAACATACTCTGGGATGTTGATAACAGGAGACCAAAGTGACGAAAGCTGTTTCAAAAAGTGGTCTTGTTACTTCGCCAGTGTCTTGATCTCCCGCTAATGTAGAATTTGCATAATTACCCTGTGCTCCATGCAGCATGGGCTGCAGTGGAAGAAGCGTCTCATAAAAAAAAGCAGAGGAGGTGGAGAGAAATGAAAATCGAGATGAAAGATCTTTGCATTTCATCAACTTAACAGATTCCACGTTGCAGAACATGGCGCTCGAGAAAAAATAGCTTCAAAGTAAACTGAGGTGGAAAATAAACTGAAGGAGAAGAATTTTCACTGAGATGCAGCACATAATGGTGCAGTGCTCAGTTTCTCTTTTTTAATTGGAGCACAGGGGCTTTGCCGCATTTAGTAATTCACCATTAATTTTACCGCACTGAAGTGTCAGTTATTAAGCAGCACATAATTGTGCTATCAAGGATTACAGGAATATCAGAGTGTTCTCAGATTATATTCTGACAAACTGGATTTAGATTAAAATCCACTGACCATGAAAAAGTAGCACAACCCTGTGGCTACACAACAAAGATATTGACAAGTAAAGATGAGATTGATGCAGCGATAAAGTTTATATGATCACAGAAATAATTACATTATCAATACATTTGTCCGATGAAATTGAAAAACGTTTGACATTTTTGAGAAGACACTTTTACTGTTACTAAGAGTTGGATAAGAAGATTGGGTAAGATGTCTATGCCCATAACTGGGTTAGTTGTTTCCAGAGTTAATGCTAAGCTAGGATAAACTAATCTACAACTTCTGCATACTGAACATACAGATATGAGAATGGTACCAATCTTTTCATCTCATGCTCTGCAAATCCATCTGATTTAGGTTAACTGCTCTAAGAATAGCTTCTTGGACGAGAAATCCCCTCTGTCCTGCATGATGACCAAACATTGTGGTTTACATTTCTAAACACCTTTTGATTTTTTATAACAATTGAAGCTACCACAGGTTCTCTCTCATGTCTGGAAGGAGAGAGTGAGGTAAGGGGTATTCAGCTGCAACATGACACTTCACCACTAGATGTCACTAAATACTACACACTGAACCTTTAAATTCTTGCCTTTGTCCTGTTTCTCTGCCTTTGTGATTGTTTGCACCAGTTCCAAATGTGTTTCATCTGTGTTCAGTTGTCCCTGCCTCCCGTGTGTATAAAGTCTCTGTGACTCCCTTTGTCTTTTTAACTTCGTCTTGTTCATCTTGCTCGTATGCTTTGTGCTTTGCGGCCGTTCCCGGTTTCCCATGTGTTTCCCTACATGTTAAGTTTTGATCTTTGTTTTTTGGATCCTGTTTTTGCGCTAACTTCCTTTTCCTCATGCTTGCCTACAATAAAGGACTCTTTGTCTTTTCACCGGAACCTGTGGCTCCTGCATTTGGGTCCTCCAGCTCCACGTTGTGAAAAAACTTCCTTTTGAAAGCAGCTTTTGTGACCATGTTATTGCTCTGACAAAGTCGTAAAGCATGATGTTCAAAAGTTCATTGATGTGAAGGAAAAGCTGTGATTTGAGTGGTCACCCTCCTCTAACCTGGCGACAGTGTCCCGTCATTTCCCCTCCAGCTCACTGTGGTCAGGCGACGCCACAGATGCTTTCTCTTTATATATAAAACAGCTTCATTGAATATTTGTTATCAATCCAGGCATGAATAAAATATTTTTTTGAGATATTTTCAAGTCTTTTGGACTTGACCAATGATTTCAGATGTTAATGTGTAAATGTAAATGATTTATGACATTAGCTTGATGTCACTGTAATCACTAAACCCATTCATCAGGTCTATATTATATTCATCTTAATCTAAAATTATGTTTAATTTAAACACATTTTGAGAATATGCTGGTACTTGACAAGATTACGTTATTCTCTGTTAAGATAGGAGATGACGGTTGAGTTTTATTATCTGTAGTTTGTGTTTGAGTTGTTGTTGGTGGAAAGTGCAGAACTATAGGAACTGAATAGAGGGGACAGATACCAGTGTGGTTTAAACAATCTGTATGATTTTACTTATTGTTAAATTCAAATAAAATCAATGCATCAAGTAATCTACAGGATTGTTTGTGTGCTGTAGTCATATGGAAATTTGCATATTGGGCTTAATCACGTCCTTAATGTTTCACGACTCGCTGTTTGATCCTTGACTCATCTTAATCCCTCTCCTCCAAACAATGGTACATGGATTCAATGTTTATAAAACTGAGCAGACACCCTAATGGAGAGACAGAGCGTTGAGAGAGGAGTACAGAGGATGTTTCTCACCAGGAGGAGCTCGATGGCCCCCAGGATGTACATGGCTCCAGCGTAGGTGGTCCCCAGATAGAAACAGATCCCCACTGCTCCCCCAAACTCAGGGCCCAGTGAACGGGATATCATGTAGTAGGAGCCTCCAGCTGCACGCGCACACACACAAGCACAGACATTAATACAAAAAAATCTGAAACGTGTGAAAGTTAATCTGTAAAAATGTATATGATTTACATGCTACAAATGATTATTTTGTAATCGTTAATCAATCTATGCATCACTCAATATGGTTTGATTATGTGTCCAAGAGAGATTGTAATTCCATTTTCTTTTTCAAGTAACATTTTAATGACAGGGGTATGCCACTATTTTGAAGCTGCAAAAATCATTAACAAAAGTCAGTTAACATAGCAATTACTGAAAAATGGATTAATGGAAAATGGATTAAAAATGTCCATCATGTTACCAGAGCACGAGATAACATTTGAAAACAGGTGAATCTGTAAAGCTGCAGCTAAAAGCATTCAACTTAAAACAAAGACACAACCAGTGGATTTTTAGGATTTCTCAGGTTTTCATAGATCGATTAATAATCTAATTTATTATTTGCACCAAATAGTGGTTTTCTCACATTGTTTTCCAGTAATTGAAGCTTTTGTTTTGCCATTTTTGTCACAATTTCTTTCTTTTTGCTTTTACTTTCTAACACTGTGCAAATGAACAAAGAGATAAAGACTTGAATCAGAACACTGCAGCAGCATTAAAGCTGGTCCCAGTTATTACAGAGACATATGTAGTATTCTAAGTGGTGTATGGTTTAACACTTCTCTACAAGCTGGTTTCTTTTGCACCAACTCCTACTGTCCACACCAACTGCTAAGAGGCATTCAAGTTGCCATGTAAACTCACATTATGAAGTATAACTACTGCTTAATGTGTACATTACTGTGTTTGCAGGCAGATTCAAACACATACATTTACTTCAACATTTCAGGCACTTGGCCAGTGCTTTATTTTGTGTATATAATGCTGTGCAACAACATGTTAAAGTGCACAAGATCCCAGACTAAGGCGTTTAATGTTTCTGGGGATATCAAGCTGTGTTTGGTGCAACATGCCAAAAGCAATCAGCGAAAAGAGAAATTTAGAAGCGGACAGCCTCAAACAGTGATGGCTGTGTGGTGCCAGCGTCTGCTCACCCACCTGGCACTACTCCATTGGTAGCGATGGCACTCATCGAGATGGCAGTCAGCATGGTCTAAACACAGAGGGAGCAGAAAACGAGAATTAGATCATATTTACCACACTCCACATATATTGAGATCATTAACAGTTCACAATGACTCTTGAACTTGCGGGTATTTTATTTATCATGGTAACAATCTTTTCTTATAGATTTGTCTTATGAATCTTGCCTGTAATGATAGTGAGAGTGAAAGGGAAAGGAGGGGAGAAAGAAGAGATACCAGGTGAGCTTCCGCTGTGTCAATATGCTCACAACTTGTCATTTCGGTTAGCATGCTCATAAAAATGTCTGAATATGTCCGGAGAGTTCACAAGAAGCAAGTGAGAGTTTCTCAAATGCTACGGACACAAAAATGGAAAAGCACAAATATCAGAAAAAACAGCTGCCGTACTCGTCAACTTGGAAAGACAACATGATTCAAAAGCCTTTCATAACGGAATTTATGCCATGTCCTGCCTCCTTCATGCTCAGACATCCCTCACCTGAATGTGCCGGAAATGTTCCTGTTGTTGTGAGAGACAAAAATGTCTGAACCCAATTTTTTTCAGAATTTCTCTTTACGCAAAATTTAAATGCAAGTCATGAAATACTTCAAATCAAATAAATTTTAGGTTTTGAACAGGCCGACTGCAAGCATGGCCAAACAAATCATACACTTAGTTATCTGCAGTCCCACATATAAACTATCTCCCAGTGTTGTCCATCATAACATCATCAGGCCTGTGGTGCATAACATCAAAACGCCCTGCATCAGAGTTTACATGGGAACAGCAGCCATTTACAACGATGCTAAATACTAAAGCGGCCTGCTTGTTTATTAGATAAATAATAATGCCACAGGGCCTGTCAACAGCTGTCAGAGCGAATTCAGACAACCAATGACAACTCTCACATAACTCTGGTATTGAGTGGGTGAAAAAAAAAAAACACCGGAAGAAATGTAAGGGCATGCTACAGTGGAGATCACTAGTTGCCTGCAACACAAACAGCCAGCCCTCAATGCCCTGAGAAAGAGAGGGGGGGGGGGGATGCAAACAGCGAGCGGAAGAATAGAGCAGAAAAATAAAAACTGACAAAGTGAGAAACATTGAGGCTGAGTGAGGAAGAGAGAGGGGGATAGTGTGTGTGACAGTACAAAGGCGACATTAAGATTTCATCATTCTTTCAAATGCAATTGTTGTATATCTGAGTGTCTTTTCACATTGTTTGCATATGAAAGAGAGCGACGGAGACAAAGAGAAGGATGAGAAAGAGATGTGAAAGGAGGCTGGTAAAAGTTGATGCCTCTTTCTGCTCCGACTTTTTCCCTTTTCTACTTTTCTGCCTCACAGTAGTTGATATTGTTTTTTCATTTTTATCCTGACAAATTGCTATTACAGCTTTTGTTTTGGTAATTGTTTCTATATATGAAATATAACTTGTTCTCAGTAGTCCTCAGTATTAGCACATTGTGTGTGTGTGTTGGTATTCAGTATGGGGTAAAATTCTATTTTACAGCAGCAACAGTGGGGAAAAAAAAACAAATTGGCTAATAACTAATGAGCTAATGAGTAAGACAAGAGAAAAAATGGTTGTTATATGGTGGTACTGAATTTTATATTTTTACTTTTACTAAATTCAAAGTGCTTTGCTTTTGTAAAGTGCTACACTGATATAAAAAATAAGTATGTTTAGCAGTGTTATCAAATATTAGTCATTGCTGTGGCGTTCCTGAACTGCATTTGCTGATGATGAAATCAAACTATTCTTATTTTCTACATCCAAACCTTTTTTCCATTTAAGTATCTCAGAGCAGCACGACTAAGAACAGAGTGAGTGAGACCGATAATGGAGGACAGTCTGGTGGTTCCCAGCCACAGGACGGCATGCTGGGTATATTTGACTATCACTACGTCTATCTCTGTGAAGACTGTAATGTGGTTAGTGTCACCTGAGGGCCTGGTGGACTCAAGAGCGAGTGGGACTGGTCTCTGTTCCTCTCTCTAATCTGGTTCTAATGAGGCCACAAGCTCTTCTCCCACCACAGCAGATAAGACAGTAATTGTTTAAGTGTTTTATCTGATGTGGGCAGCAGCCACGCAGAGGTAGTCAGTCGCAGGCTGAATCACTGAATCACCACACAACTGTACAGAGCAGCCACCAATGGACTCATATGATTTACACAGATAATTTTAATATACTATACATTAAGGGTTATACATGACTGTGGATTATCTATAGTTCAAGAATGGTAAATTGAAAGGGTTTAAACACATGTCAAACTAGATGAGGTACAAGAACACACAACTAAACAACCCTACACATCTGACTCTAATAGAAAACAAGTAAAAGAAAATCTGTGCTTAATTGATATCAGCACTTAACATCGCAATATGCACGTTATTTACAGAGAAACTGATTTAAAAAGAGTTAAAAAATGTCTTACTTGCAATGTTAAGACAAAAAAAGATTAAAATAATAAAAAAAATATCTATCAATCCTTCTAATGAAATCGGCAGAAAAAGGTAATTCGTTTTTTTTCCCCCTTAACCATGATGTCCCATCCCTCTAGGTAGGTGATGTAACCCTGCTGACAAATCAACAAACAGACAAGAAAAAGGTAATAAACTCTAAACAGTGATGGTTGTGTGATTGTGACTGTGCATTGAGAGTGGAGATGTTTTCTTTTTTTTGCCTTTGCTGAAGCAAGAACATGAGAGTAAACATGTAAGGAAGGAATTAATTATCCACTCTAATATAAACTGCAATCATTATTATGTACAGCTCACTTGATAACTACCATGTAGGTCACCCTCTATTGTCTTCCTGTAGTCGTGTAAGGCTATTGTAGCGTAATAATATGGCTATATAACTAAAGTTATGAATAGTGCAAATTACTAGGTCTAATTATCTCTACCATAAAATACAAAAACAAAGCTGCTCCTTTATTTTTGTAGTCTACAATGAGCATCGACTGGTGATGCTGACTTTTTTCCTCTGATTCTTTCCGAAAGCTTCTCATTTTAACACAAATCAACTCAACAGCTTTAAACTAATGATTATGGAGCTAATTATAATAAGATTAGTAGATTAATAACCTCTGTGTCAAATCAAACTGCACATGTGAAAACAAAGAATATGACAGGTGCAGCAACATTAACTGAGGGAAGCGTCAGTTTTTTAAATTTATTATTATCATCATAGATTAATCTATGTTTTTTAGTGTTAATCTCTACAAGACCTTTATCTGAACTGTCTAACGACCTCCAGACAGTTTTCAATGACGACCGTGACCTCTCAGAGCTCCATGTCCTCTCAGGTGAGTCATTTTTATTTGACTGAATTTCCATCGTTTTTTTTAAGAATCCCTTTCGACCACTTTTACCTTTACTTTTAGCAGTGTCCTACTTTTACTCAGAACCACCCTCTGGGTGTCACTGCAGTCGGGAACGTTGTAAACGTCATCAATTAGCTGCTGTCACAAACTCAGTGGATTGCTCTTAACCGCCCTGCAAAATGTGCACCGATGCTGTAAGGTCACACTAATTTTTGCTGCAAATGTAAATAAACCAATGTCAAGCTCAGATGAAAAAGAACAAAATGAATTTTTTTTTTTAGGTTTTTTGTCCTTTATTTATCCTTGTTGAAGTAGTTGATAGTCACTTTACCTTTCGTCCTCAGTGTTGCTGCAATGGGTAGAATAATCTGTATTTTTTTTCCCACTGACCCAGAGCCTGTGGTCCCTATTGTCCCATTTTCAGGCAATGCAGGTAACATAAAACTGTGATGGTTTGAGAGTATGTGTGATGAAGTATATACCGTCTAACGCCACCTCTCTCTGCAGTCTGTAGGACCCACATGTACCCTACATGCTGTCTGGCCTCCAAGCATGCCTGTAGACAACCTCAGATTATGCCATCTGCCATCTGTCTCGTCCATATGAGCTGAAGCAGCAGACAGCTTATAAATGAGATGTAAGGATTTTATTTTAAGGCAGTTAGAAAGCTAGCACAATTTAAATAATTACTAATCCATCACAGTTATCGCTGAGCCTGAGGAATGTATTTGGAGGAGAGGCAAATTTTTCTTTTAAAGAAAAGTCTGCTAGATGATATCCCACCGACACTGACTGCAAAGGACGCTGGGGCTGTTTCTTCCCAGAGCTACAGACAAACTCTGACTTGGCCTTTAGCTGACCTCAGTGTTGAGCAGAAATTGGTTTTGACAGGAATGGAGTTTTTCGAGCTGCCCTGAGAGCGTGTTTCATTAGCTGCTTCATTACATAAGTGCAGAATAGTTAGTTCGCGGTGCTGTTTATCACTCGGAATCAAGGCGGACGGTGCGCAGTATAGGGCAAAAACTGTCAGGTGAAGGAGATGGAGGTGATTGTTACTGAGCACAAGAGGATGACGGGATGAAGCAGAGTGAGAAAGGAGGAGAGAGGTGGGAAATGGTGGGTGAAAAAAGAGAGAGGGAGATAGAGGCGTGAGGAAACAAAAGAAAAGAGGAGCGTGAGAGGAAATAATGAGAAAAGAAAATGAGAAAAAAGGGAGAAAGCGAAAGAGATGAGAGTAAAAAATGAAAAGGACTGAGGGAGAAAAGCATCCTTAGCATTTAAATGAGTCACGACAGAGGGCAGACCACCCTTCCCCTTAGAGCATTTAGATTCAAGACCTGGAATTAATGAGGAAGGCCATACAACAGATGACTTTCCATCAAGAATATTAAACCTCATTTTATCTCTGTGACAAGGCTGCATTCATTATCTGGAATAAAAAAAACCCACACATGGGCACGTTTGAATACACAGGCTCGGAGAACGCTGTTTATACTGACTTTTAAAATGGCTGGTTGTGTGTACTTGTGGTTAATGGCATAATGTGTCAGAGCTGTTCCACATGGAGGCACAGTCCTCATATAGTAATGATTCAAGAAACATGCAAGGGTTCCGCGGCTTGTTAATGTTCTGTCAAAGTGTTGCGTGACGGGAAAATAACAGTGAGTGTTGGACAGGTACAGATGTGTGTTGCTGTGGCTGAGCAGCTAATGAAAAGTGTTCTGTCAGTGATATCCCATCATGTGAATAAAACATGGAGTCACGCTGTATATTATCAAGCTTTTACGGCACGCATGATCCCCTGGCTCTTCAAGTCCTGTGGATTTCACTTAGGCGGGGATCTCTGTGTACATGTATGTACACACACACACACACTCTGCGGTGTGTTGCTGGCAACCCCTGGAGGGCTAGGTGGTTATGTGTTACGTAAGGAGCTCAGGAGGAAAGAGGTGGGGGTTTCTCACACACACCGTTCATGTTCAGGCTTATCGCCCCAGGGCTCTGCAATGAGCTCCGTGTGACTGATAACAAGCGTGTGAGTGTGTATGTGTGCGTGTGTCTGGACAGGGACAAAATCTGAGAAAAAAAATGAGAGCTAGGGAGGAAGGAAAAGATATATACTTTTTCTTTTTTTGGAATTAATGTCATGTAATGTGTATGTAAGGGAGCTTTAATGTCTGTGAGTGAGTGAGTGCATGCACACATAATAAATGTTGTGCAGCAGATGTGAGTATCTGTGTTTGTGTGTGTGTTTGCGTGGCTTCCTGTCAAACCGAGTCTGAACAAGCTTTGATCTTCAAAGCTTTTTTTCGTATTTTTTCAACACTATTTTTAGCGTAACACTGAGCGCATTTTTTTCTCTCCAGAGGCTTCGTTTCTCTTTCAGGTAATGAATGTAGTA